ATGAAGATCTGATCGGTTGTAGACAAAGGTCGCGTCAGCGGTCGTTCGAACGGCTTTTGACCAGTGACATCAGACATTGCTTAATCAATCAGCGTTGACGTTTCTAGTGGATTATCCACAGTTCAATGCATCGCACGCCAAGAAGTCGCCGTAACAGATGGTTTCATTGGCTAATCCCTCACGCCATCCAGAACGCAGGTTATATAACAACTCTTCCAGATCCTAGTGTAGTACAGACAAATAAAACGAAATATTGAACTATAAAAAACGAAACGAAATAGGGTCTGTGTTTTAATCAGATTGGGAAAAACTCTACTCCTTGACAGACCTTAAGATTTGATGCGCACGTGTTTAACCACTAGACCCCGCCCCCTTCAATATGAACAAAGACTCGATATTGTCCAATGTCATCTGGTATTTGTGTGTGTTTTTTACGAGAATAATTAACTAAAGTGGAGATAAGAACAATAGTAAGAGATAAAATACAGACAAAAACCGTATTGTAAATATTAACAGGGAAATATCGGCACGATTCAAGCTATATGGTTGTTTTAGACGCTTGGATAAATATGGAGAAAAATCGATTATTAGTACATTGTCTGTCACGATCATCAACTCGGTAAGTCTTAAATGATGTATCGTAGGTAAATATCGCCTCTTTTAGTTTTCACCGGACATCAATTGTATTTACACGGTATATTATTTCAAGGTAAGATCTAGTATTCAAGGTATCAAGTTTCATACCATTAGTTAAAAAAACACGGCATCTTTGATTTGGGTAAAATAGGAAATAGACGACCTCATTAAATTCGATATGCTGATTAGTTTCTTGGGGTTGTTTTCAAATTTGTCATTCCGTGCACTTTTATTAAAATTGTTCTGGAATTTACAACAAATATATTAGCTTTGTGATATTTTAATGTTTTATTTATTATAATTATGTATAGTATGTCAATATAATATTGACTCAGGACACCTGTGTAGTTTTTCGAATGAGACGTAAAATCGAGGTCCCCTGTAGACATGCGTGCACGTATATAATAAAAAAAAAACCTTGGCAGTTGGAATTCGGCATAAGATTAGGTGGTAGGGCCGCAGCCTGGGTAAAATTTCCGTCATATCACAGAATATGCCGTATGCCCGTCTTCATTAGCCCAGTTGGTGCAGAAAAGTAAGACGTTAAACCCTATTTCATTTCATTTGTACAGCGCCTTACAGGTTTAAGAAGACGCATGTTGTCTGACAAATACTTACCACAGGAAATATGACAAAATGAGTGATATACATCTATTCAGTTCCAGTCTCTAATTTCAGATTGTAATTCTATATACATGTATATAATATATTTAATCTGAACTTAGAGATTACGATTTAATATCAACATGTCGCTCTTATTGTCATATATCATATCACTAGATGGAATAGATACGCCCCTCGGCGTATATATAATATTTATAATCTGAAATTAGAGATTCCTATTTTATATCTTTATATAAACATATCGTCCATATTGTCATACGTCACTAGATTGAATAGATACGCCGCTTGGACTTTATTTAAAATATCATATAATACTAGAAGACTTATTATGGATACAATCACTTGGTTTATTATATTGCAACGTTTCAATAAGATTTCACAAGTCGTTTTCAAGTAAATACCTAATGTACAAATGAGAAACATCATGGGTGATATAAATAAAATTAATAAATAGACAAAAAAATTCGTCCAGGTAAAAACGTCTCCACTTTATTTTATTCTTAAATACATAAAATCATATAAGCTAGCTGTCTGCCTTCTACAGACGTCTTCAGATATTCAAGTCTCAATACCACTCTTATTGTAACTGAATAATATGTCCCAATCTTTATTCTGGTCAACAAATTGTACTATTTTACAATATTCCAATTAATTGATGATACACATTTCATCTTAACACACCTAATTTAAAAAATTGGAAAAATTCAACTAAATGATTTGAAAAGCCTGACGTAAAGCTTTTCAAATATGACTTGGATTTAAAAATATATTTGAACCCTCTGGACAAGTAAAATAGGATTTAATGGATAGTTTACAAAACAGGTAAGACACTAACACATCTAGTACTTAGAATAAGGCTATTTTTGTTATTTTCTGGAGCTGTCAAGCCAGCAAGAATGTTATTGTCCCTTTAATAATGTATGCAAAATAATATATTCTTAATAATACAGTATATACATGTACAATCAACAATATCGTTAATTTAATGAGCTGTATAGACAGGTGACAAAGATTACTTTACAGGTTTAATAAGATTATAAGTCTACTTGGAATTCCTGCTAATAACTGAATTGGTGATCATAACCCTTAAACCTTTTGTTATAATATTAGTGGGCGTGTCTACATCTCATTAGTTACTAAATGCCTGTCAAGAATTAAATTATCATCCCTACTTTCTTTTACAATATGGTTTGTTGCCTGCACTGTAGATCATAAGGTTTGTCATTGATTCAAATGACATGTTTTTCACAGCTTGTACGCGCCCCCTACGTGCTAGTGGATTATTGAACTAAAACTGAACCATGTGTTCCTCCCGAAATGACCTAGTTTATGACAAGTGGACGTTAAAACCCATTTCTCTCTCCCTCTCTCCACCACCGACGCTGCAGAGGCTAGTTTGTGGGAACATGCGGTAAAAGAAAGACAATCTGCAAATCGGCTAATCTTTGCAATAATTAATATTTTTCAATTAATTAGGTATTATGGGGGATTAGATAAAGAGTTGACTGTTTTCGCTATAGTATAGTTAAAAACTAGATATCGTTAATAGAATATGCTGAAAATCTCTGCCAAATTGCTCCACTCTGAACCGAGATATTAGCTTTTGAATTTTAAGCTCAGGCTCGATCATCTTGTTTGGATTTAATCAAAATTGGGCGTTGGGCAGCAGATCGGATTCAATTCTAGTGAAAATCCGACACATAAGATGATATCGATAGTTGACGGGATTTATTCATCTATCGACATGTCAATTTTAATTACAATATTACTTTTAATACTTGATTTTTCACAAATGTAAAGAAATTGTCCATTTATAAAGAAAAATGTTCATAGGATCCCTTCCTATGTGCCGTAGCTGGCTTGCCAGTAGGCCTAGTGCATGACGATATGTATATTCATGTTTCGGTATATTAAAGAATACTCCGAAGTCAGGTAGATTTGAAGATAATATAAAGCTTTATTTTATAATCAGTAGTGGAATACCGCGTTTTATCAGTGAAATAAAAGTGTTAATGTTCTGGCTAAAGTAGTCCATGTTGTTTTTACCTAAAATGATTGTAAAATCATAACATAAATAGAACATTTGTCGTTTTGTCGTGAATAACATATTTTATTTCATCTCTAAGCAAGAAAACGTTTATATTTTCACTCATGCTAAGCATTCGTGAAAATATAAGTTTTCTTGCTTCTCGATGAAATAAAATATGTTATTCACTCTAAAATGACAAATATCCTCTATATAAGATACGGTGAGCTTTATGAAACAGAAATAATGACGTCACAGAATGTTTCAACGTTCATTCAATATTATCCACTTTAGAGTTGCCGTAAGAAATTACAAAATGGTTCAAATTAACTAATTGACACGCCGCTGCACCCCCACCCCCCACACACGTCTCAAAACTTACATATCCGCCATTATATATGATGAGGTCAATTTGTATGGAGAAGGTTAATTGATATAAAATTGTCCTTTGTAAATAATAAGCATTTCTAAGTGTAAAAAAGTTATTATGAATTATTGATGGGAGTTTAATCCCTATTTCATTACAGCATTGAAAGCTCACGTGGTTTTAATTACTACTGAACAATCAACAGGTTATTCTATTTCACTATAATATGTTACTTACATCCGCAACTGGATATCAAATGAAATGAAATCCGGGTTAAAGATCCTACTGTTCTGCTCCTACTGGGCTAATGAAGACCGGCATACGCCATACATTGTGCTATGAGGGAAAATGTGCCCGAGCAGCGGCATTGTGACCTACTCTTGTGTCGAATTCCATCTGCCAAGGACTCTTTAACGTGCACGCCAATGTATTCACGGGTCCTCGATTTTTCGTTCCATCCAAACGACTAGGCCCTCCGTTCAGCACCACAGACAAGTGGAAAGCACGCTGGAAAATTCCGATGAACTTTCTCGGCCAATGCAAGGATAGAACACGCAACCTCTGGACTAGCGAGCCAGCGTCTTACCAACTATGTCACGCAACCGTAATCTTATCCTTATATATATACATTGTTCCGTCTTCATTAGCCCAGTCGTAGCCGAACAGTAGGACGTTAAACCCAATTTCATTTCATTTATTTCATATAGTCAGCCATTAAATTGACGGGGTGTTGAATGGCCGAATGGTTAGCACGTGCGCGCTGTATCATAAATATAACACCTGTCACTGAGTCAAATGGCGTGGTTTCGAATCCCCGGTTGTACGTAACAAGGAGTTGGGTCACCTGTCCAACCTCGCGGGTTTTCTCCGGGTTCTCCGTTTTCCCCCCACTGCAAAAAACCCCTACGCGCAAGCGAATTATTGAAATAAAATTAAACCATATGTTAATCCAGAAATGACCTAGCTTGTGTCGAGTGGGCGTTATCTCTCTCTCTCTCTCCCTCTCTCTCTCTCACTTTAAATTGACCGTCCTAAATGTCGAGTGGGCGTTATCTCTCTCTCTCTCTCTCTTTCTCTCTCTCTCTCTCCCTCTCTCTCTTTCTCTCTCTCTCACTTTAAATTGACCATCCTAAATGATACGCATTAATTGTTAAGAGTCAAAATGATATTCTGAATTATAGACGAGAGCCCACATTGTTCAAACACACGGGGTATTTTATTTCAATATAATATTGTGTTACTTGCTTTCAACATTCTTTATTTGTATTTCAGAACACAGCTACATTTACAGTGTTTAGGTCAAAGGTCATAGTCGATTTATCAACAATCAAAACGTCATAGATTTAGACAGTCGACCTTTGAGAATACCGTAAGAAAGACGTTATGGTAGAAGGAAGGAAAGAGTGTATCTATGAATAAGTCATTTAACAGGCCGCACTGTTCATTAACAGGTGCATACATATATATACTCGTCAGCGTGATAAACTCGGTGAACAAGGAAAGGGGACGTAATTATGTTGTGAAATAGTGTCGTATTGTTACAAGGCTGTATATATATATCGGAATGTGAGATTTCAACATACATGTAATGCAGTATACATATCACTGAATTGATAACTGTGTGTATTGCGAAATATAAGGTGTATAATTAGCTGTATAGGGCAGTTAGCAAACAGTTAGTGTTGTATACTAGCAAAGACTGTTATTTGATCGATCAACGTAAACAGTATAAAACTACTAAACCTACCAACATGGGAAAGTTAAATATATTTGAAATAACGTTCGCTAACCCCCAGGGGGTTTTCTATGGGGGACAACTAATACAAGGTCATGTGACAGTGGAATTAAATGCTGAAATTAAAATGAGAGGTAAGCTCGACGATATTTAGTAGAATTTCAACACCTTTTCTTTATTAGATAGACCATTCATCGTGTTATTTTATGTCTATTTGTGAAGTGTAAAGGTCGTAAAGGGATATCGGAAAACATCCTAGAAAAATGGGTATAGCTCTTTCAACCAAGGAAATGTTGACTGTTAATAGTCGGTGTCTTGTCAAGCAAAATGGTTAATATCATTAGAGACGCAGTGAAGCCGTGAATGTAATAATCTATCGTGTGATATTAGTATACGCATGTGTAGTTAAGACCGTGGGAGTCTAATTAAGTATTTTTGATTTAACTTATTGCATGGAATTATCCTTGTGGGGGAACATGCAGTATTAAATATAGATATATTCCTGAACAAAGCATTGTAATAACAATTGTTAAAATTCTAACAAAGTGTGTAATACATGAAATAGGGTTTAACGTTCTAATTTCCTGCACCGACAGTCTCATACTAAGTCCCGTACTTAAATCTTGGGGTCATACAATAAGAAAGTTTTCCTCGGGCATCACCAATCCTCTGCTGACAAGGACAGCAGCTGTCTATAATCGTTCGGATGGGCCGAACAATAGAGGTCCTGTGTACCATTGGCGTGCTCGTAAAAGCTCCCTTGGCAGTTGGAATTCGATACAAGAGTAGGCTGTAGCGCCGCTGTATGGCGTATGCCGGCTGTGCCCGTCTTCATGAACACAGTAAAGACCCCTACGAGCTAGAGAATCATTGAAATAAAATTGAACCATACGTAGTTAGCCCTGAAATGACATAGTTTGACATAGTGGACGTTAAAGCCCATCTCTCTCTTTATCTCTTATTAGTCCAGTCGGAGCAGAACAGTAGGACGTTAAACCCCATTTCATTTCGTTTCCCAGACCTCTGCACTACACTGTATCTGTTCCAGATATAGACATATATATTACTAAACATTCTGCACGCAGAGAACTATCTACTTCATACTTCGAGAAAAGATCCCTGCCCTAATATAAATGGCCGCCATATCCAAAAATTAGCATACTGTTTTGTAATGTCATACACACAATTAGCATACTGTTTTGTAATGTCATACACACAATTAGTATACTGTTTTGTAATGTCATACACACAATTAGTATACTGTTTTGTAATGTCATACACACAATTAGTATACTGCTTTGTAATGTCATACACACAATTAGTATACTGTTTTGCAACGCAGCCCTAAAATCATTAGTGATCTGTGGCCTTATGGCCGACACTCGTAACCATCTTTCAGTGTATTATTTATAGATGGTTAAATGGTCATAGTTTATTACTACTCGGGTTCACATCAGTTATACGCATAAAGACTAATTAAACCTTTTTAATTTTATTAAATGGAAGCAGAATATATAATTTTAATATTCGCAAAATATACTTAGTGTTTTCGACTAAAATGTAAAATGAAATGAAATGGGGTTTAACGTCCTACTGTTCTGCTTCTAACCTGGGCTAATGAAGACGGGCATACGCCATACAGTGTGCTATGAGGGAAATTTTGCCCGGGCAGCGGCACTATCGCCTACTCTTATATCGAATTCCAACTGCCAAGGGATATTTTACGTGCATTCCAATGTATACACGTGACCTCGGTTTTTCGTCTCATCCGAAGGACTAGACAGCTGTCCTTGCCAGGCCCTCCATCCTGCATCACTGACAAGGGGGAACAAATTAAAATGTCGGTCAAGTAGCTTAGTGTCTGTTCTCAAGCGGGGCTAATTGTTGACAGGCTGCGTAAGTTTAGTATGATTAATATATGTGTATATAGAAATATATTAGCCATGTGTTTGTCTGATAAACAAAACAATTGGGATAAAATATAAAACGCTATATATAAATCTTTGTACAGGGTCATGGCTCGGGGAAGTGAGTAGACCGTCTACAATAACCTACTTACGGGATTTGTATAAAAGATCTGTTTACGTTGAACATAGGAATGCCAAATATCTCAGACATACTCTATACTATCATCAGCTTCGTCCTGGACAATATCAATCATGAATGAAAACAATCATAAGAAAGGCTCTTCACATAAGTTTGTATAAACATCCTAGACATCAAACAACATATCAAACATTTTTCTTTATCGACCCACATTGAAATGTGCTCGTATACTGCCGTCGCCCCGTCCGTCGGTCCGTCGTCGATAATAGCTTGGGGGCGCTCTAGACGCTACAGCTACTAGACTTTAATTGATACACAGGGTTAACGGCCATGAGACGAAGAAGCCTGGATTTTCAACGATGTCCGATAATTACTGCCAGAGTTATGGCCCTTGATCATTTTGAACAATCTTGCGGACGCTCTTGAGGCTAGAGTTAATATCCAAGCGACTGTCAATTTATACACATTGTTACAGGCCATGAGTAGAAGAAGACTAGTGATTTTCAACGATTTTCGATAATTACTGCCCTTGATCACCCTGAAAAATTTTGTGGACGCTCTGGAAGCTAAAGTTAATAACTGATTACTTCCAAAGTTGTGACCCTTGATAAAAAATCTTTTGTTTACTTAACGTTAGTACAGGACATTATAAGCCGAACAAATTCTAATGATTTCTGATAGTTATACTTAATGGGTTGCTACTCAGAGTATTGTATTGTAAATGTTTTCATCACTGACAAAAGACAAAAATATGCGACAACCGTTGTTGACTGCTGCGGGGGGTATGTTTGGTTGCCTGACAACCTATTGTTTTATAAATGAAATATTAAAGATGTATAATGTAAGATTTAGATAAAAGAGCTGACCGTTCTTGCTATTATAGATCAAAATTAGATCCCTGCATTGGCCGAGAAAGTTCATCCAGATTTTCCGGCGTGGTTCTCCCTTGTCAGTGATGCAGGACGGAGGGGCTGACACGGAAAGCTGTCTAGTCGTTCGGATGGGACGAAAAACCGAGGTCCCGTGTACAAATTGGCGTGCACGTAAAAGATCCCTTGGCAGTTGGAATTCGATATAAGAGTAGGCCGTAGTGCCGGTGTCCGGGCAAAATTTCCCTCGTAGCACACTGTATGGCGTATGCCCGTCTTCATTAGCCCAGGTTAGGAGCAGAACAGTAGGACATTAAACTCCATTTCATTTCATTTCATTTCAGATCAAAATTATACAATGAAAAATGAATATATTGAAGTTTTCATTCAAATTACTTTATTTCCGATGGAAGTTATAACACTGTTTGAAGATATATTGTAAATCGTAGCAACGGTACTTGACAACTGAGATTAAACCTTGATTGTCAACGTTATCTTTAAATTTGCAAATCTCGCACGTGTTCAAATCCATTTGCACTTCGACCTCTCTATGTCCAGAGATTTGATTATATAATAATTTAATATAACATTTGAAGCCAGAAGAATTGAAGACCTACAATAGGCAGGGTTAGCTCTCCAATTGCATCTTTAAGTAGAATGTGCCAACGCTTAATCAAATTATGCTGGTTACTCTACTAAATAATAGTCGGTATGATTAGGGCCAATTATATCATTACGCACAAATTATGATGTGATCTTATTACTAATCCATTAATCTAAATTTCCGCTTAAAGTAGATAAATCTCTAATTCAGTATTATCTATAATCTTCGACGTTACAAAAACACGAATTAATATTGGCCCATTTCAAGCAATAGGACCCATTGGTGTTGTTATCGTACCGTAAAGATATGGGCCCCCGATATCCAATATTTAAGACATAATACACATCTGCGACGTAATTTTTGAGTGCTCTGGAGCGCCAATTGTAATGACCGGGCCCCTTGATGCGTTAATGAAATGTCAAACCGTGCTCCCGGTGTAGATTGGACTAACCAACCGCAAGCGACAGTCATTCAATTTGGACTGCTCGCGTATTGCGACAAACATAACTCATTAGAAATTACAATAAAAATATTTTAAGAATGAATGTAATTCAGTTTATATACACACTATTTACAACAATGTGTGCCCTTTGACCCATTTTCGGGAATTTTAGGTTCAAAAGAATAGAGATTTTGTTCCTTTAACATGACACTGAAATATAATACTACAATTGTCATGATCTATTTGTACGACACCAATATTTTGTGCATTGGCTATGTTAACATTTAACATTTGAGTGCTCGGGTAATTATTATATTATTACAAGCAAACATTTTCCATGTTACTAACATTACACATTTGATTGTTCGGGGAATTATATTATTGCAAGCAAACATTTAAAACCATTGTCAAATACTTCACTTTATGTCAAAACTAACCAGAATTACATATTTATGTACATGGGTATGGGTGTGTGGGTGTGGGTGTGTGGATGGTGGTGGTGGTGGTGTGTGTGTGTGTGTGTGTGGGGGGGGGGGGGGTCACGGTGGCTAAGTGACATTTGATTGCTTGAGGAATTATTAGATTATTGTAAACACACATTTGAAACCATTGCCAAATACTTTACTCCATGTTTAAAACTAACCATCATTACATGTAAATGGGCATCACTGTATGAGATATCACTGTATCGGGGATGGGGTCCAACGCGTGCGTTTTATATCACACGGTCTGTAAGAGTAGGGTCGCCTGCCTAATATCGTATGTTTTCTTTTACTGCTAAAGAGTCTTGCTCACAAGAGAATTATTAAAATCAAATTGTTTCAAAATGACTTATTTTTAGTCGAGGAGATATCTAAAATCTTTTGTGTATTAATGTTTTTCTCACGTTAATGTCATGTCTGGGTATTAGGATATGTTTCTAAAAGCATTTTCTTATATTGCTTTCAGGAATAAGACTGCATTTTGAAGGTGGAGCACGAGTTCACTGGTCAGAACAACACAGTACAGGTAGCGGTAAAAATAGAAGAACAGTCACCAGACATTATTCATCCAGTGAAACATATTTTAATCATATACTCGTTTTATTTGGTAAAGGTAAGTAATAGAGGTTTCGAAACCTTACATTTAAACTTACATTTACATTTAGCCATTAAACGTCATCGGTTTTTGTGAAGTATGACGTGAAGCCTACGCCATAAAACGTGTGTCCGACGGATAGCAGCTTCCATAACTGTAAGTTCACAACACTTAGCTAATTCTTGTTTAATTTCTATAATCCAGTCCATAATTTTCCCCTGAATCCTGGTTTTCATGAACTAATTCCACAGAGAAGACTTTCTCCTTCATGTAGACAAAATAAGAAGAGGCTGAGACAAAACACGTGCGTGCTTTAGTAATTTCATCTTTAACAATCTATCCATGATGAAAATTAATCGAGATCATGGACACGTTTGTGTCGCCACCTACTAAGTGTGAATTTTGCGAAACGTCATAATGTACAGTTTCCATTTACAATTATTTAAATGTAAATGTAAGTGTAACTGTTAAGTTGCCAAACCTCTGTATTAGCTTTTTGGGAGCGGTATTTGTCATTATAGGTTTGCACAGTGTGTGTTAAAGAAAACATCATATTTAACTGAATATAATTTGAATATTTCTTGCAATTGCTTTATGTTATCAGGTCCAGGGCAGAGGGGAGACGACCCAGTTTTACAAGCAGGGAGATATGTGTATCCATTTAGTTTCCAGTTGCCCACAGGAATACCATCATCTTATGAAAGTTTTACTGGGCGGGTTCGATATTCAGTAGCCGGTGTCATCGATCGTCCCTGGAAGTTTGATCATACAACGAGACGAGCGTTTACAATAGTCGATCCTCTAGATCTGAACCTTGAACCACAAGCCATGGTAAATATGTTAGAGTCTTTTACATTTGATATTCCTCTTGATCTTAAAGGGACATAAGGTGAGATTGGATAAAGAGCTGACAGTTCTCTTATAATAGTTAGAAAATAAATAGATAATGAAAACAAAATATGCTGAAAATTTCAGTCAAAATGCTTTACTCTCACCCGAGATATTAGTCACAGAATTTTAGACTAGTCTCGGTCTTCATTACTGACGTTGGTATATGATAACAAACAAAGTCTCGATTATCCATTTTTACGTTAAATTGTATCTATCACAAATATATATTCAAATTCAGCAAATACCCCAGGCTGATGATGGCATCGAGCGTTAAATACGGTCTGGATAAGTTAATTAATGTCTAATTAATAATTTAGATAACATTTCAGGGCAACAGACAAGACCTGTAATAGGCAAATTTAGCTCTTGCATAATACATGCTTAATCTAGAATCAGTTTAAAGTTCTGTTTTAGCTCCGCACGAGTTGTCTTTAGTTTTTGAAAGTAGATATTTAATCACGAAAACGGTAGCAGAATTTGTGGCAATGAAATGACGTTAAGCGGCTTATGGGTCTGCATCAACTTGAATAATGAAAACTGACATGCATCATGTAATGCGCTATAAGGGTAATAATTTCTGTTCACACCAAATTGAGCAAACATTTCTTTAGTAGAAAGAATTAAAGCACAAAGATTAAGGCTATCAACGACAACGAAACGTGTGGATGACTGACCACTATCTATCTATCTATATATTGAAATAAAATTGAACCATGTGTTAGTCCCGAAAGGACCTAGTATGTGTCGAGTCAACGTTAAACCCCATTTCTCTCTCTCTCTCTCTCTCTCTTCTCTCTCTCTCTCTTATATATATAATTTTATTTCAATAATTCGCTTGCGCGTAGGGGTCTTTAGCAGTGGGAGGAAACCGAAGGACCTGGTGAAAACCCATGGGATTGGACAGGCGACCCTGCTCCTTGTTACGTACAACCGGGGAATCGAAATCCCGCCAGTTGACTCAATGACAGACCGTATGATACAGCGCGCGCGTGCTAACCATTCGGCCATCCAACCCCCTATCTATATAGAGAATTATTAATGGCATTTGTCGTCAAATGAATATATAGTTACCATTAATCCTTGTATTTTTCAGCAAGGTGCCACAGGAAATGGCCAGAAGACATTATGCTGTCTATGCTGTGAGTCCGGACCAATTAGTGCAGTGTTGCGGCTTGACAGATTAGGTTATGTACCTGGAGAGGCCATCGCCATTAGTGGTGAAATAAATAATGGCAGTCGAAGAAAAATGACCAGTTCGTTCGCTGACATTAGAATGGTAAGTATTGACCAAGATCTTGATATTAGGGTCCTAATTGCTGTTCGGTTAAAGATAAACCTTATCAAATTCCACTGAATTGCCAAGAACTTAAAATTGAGGTGACAGCTTCCATTGATTGTACATGATCAAGGATTACCTATCTGAATATGCGACTGCTCATCCAAAAGCGAAATATTAAGATAACGACCAACCCTTATGTTAGTGTAGAGGATGGGCTAAATTAACTGGAATTGATATTATATATGGACACTTTGTAGATATACCAAACAATGAAAGGATGATCCCAAAAATTTCGAGACAAGATTTACTAGTTTATAAAATTACAGCACAAAGTTATGCTCATTCATAAAACTTTGGATCATGGCTGCCGGTCTTTGGAGTAGGGTTTCTCTTAAACATTGGCGACTTGATGCTTGTCTGAAGTTGTACAATGTGAAGGGAAATGACAAAAATAGCATTTATCTCACAATTTGGGACTTTCCAGTACCACCCCCCCTCCCAATCTGATTAAAACACAGATCCTATTTCGTTTCGTTTTTTTATAGTTCGTTTTATTTGGCTTTACTACACTAGGATCTGGAATAGTTGTTATAATACCGGCGTTCTGGTTGAAGTGAGGGATAAGCCAATGACACAGTCTGTTACGGCGACTTCTTGGTGTGCCATGCACAGAACTGTGGGTATACCACTACAAACGCCAACGTTGATTGATTAATCAATGTCTGACGTTATAGGGTCAAAATCCGCTTGTATGACCCGTGATACGACCTTCGAGAACAACTTGTCTGATCTTCATGTAGTGTGGGTCATCGAAAGTATAAAAAAACGAAACGAAATATAGATCTGTATTTTAATCAGATTGCAGTACTTTGTTTTAATGATGTCATTCAGTACATCCAACACCACCAGAAGCCATCATAAAAACTTTTCTTGCGAGGTTTTGGGTGTTGACATTGTTTTTTCAAATATCGCCCAGTTTCAATCAGGCGATATCCTGGCGGTATTATCATACATTTCGAAAATCATGTACTATAATCGTTTTCTTCCAGACCATTCAATATCACGCTACAACAAAGACTAAAACAGTTTGTAATACTGTGTCTAAAATCAGCCATGGGCCCATTCTACCCGGTGATGGTGATATTTGGAACGGCGATCAACTACATATACCCCCGTTACCGCCTTCTCGTTTACGTGGATGTCGTATTATAGATATAACTTATACAGTAACGGTAAGATAAATATGTTTAATTTTTTCCCCATTATTTTCTCTAATATTATATATGGCTGTACATCTATTCATGATCATATATGAACCATGTCGTCAGTAGTAAGGGAATCACTTACAAAAGGGCTACTAGTAAGAGGGACAACAACAGCTGATCTCCGTGGTGAAATGAAATGACATGGGGTTTGACGTCCTACTGGTCTGGCCCGACTGGGCTAATGAAGACGAGCATACGCCAGACAGCGGCGATAGGCGTACTCTTATATCGAATGCCAACTGCCAAGGAATCGTTAACGTACACGTCAATTTGTACACGGGATCTCGGTTTGTCGTTCCATCCGGACGACTAGACAGCTGTCCTTCCTTGTCAGACCCTCCGTCTTGCACCACTGACTAGGGAAAACCTCTTCGGAAAATCCCAATGAACTTTCTCGGCCAACAACGAGATCTAACATGCGTCCTACAGTCAAGCGAGCCATAGTGTCTTAGCCACCATGGCTCCAGATCCCCATGGTGCATCTGCGATAACATTAATGCCATTTGTTTTCCCCATTACTCTGAATTCTGATATTTGTGCTATGTAAATTTTCAGTTAAACGTTGACCCGTCTGGAATAGGATTTGACTTGGTGGTACCAATAAATATTTTAATAGGCTCCATACCTCTCCAGTCAGTAGCAAGACAGTATGGTCCACCACCACCTCTCCCTCTGCCTCCGACAGATTATACTAACACGGGACCTAATGATATTCAACTTCAACCTACCATGCCATCAGCGCCTTCCAATATGGATATGCGTAAGTAAATCAAGATCAGATATTTAAACTAATATATTATTCACACCTATACTTACACAAACACGTTTGTGCGTACGATCGACACCTCTGTCGTATGTTTTACATATCTTTTAACGTCAACATAAATTCGGTTGTTGCACATCCAACCTCGTGGGATTTCTCCGGGCTCCCCCCCCCCCATCCCGGTTTCCTCCCACTGCTAAAGACCCCTACGCGCAAGCAAATTATTGAATTAAAACCATATGTTAGTGCCGAAATGACCTAGTTTGTGTCGAGTGGACGTTACCCCTCTCTCTCTCTCTCTCTCTCTCTCTCTCTCTCTCTCTCTCGGTTGTACCACCAGGCAAATTACATGCCAGTATGACGGGCTGTTTTTTTTAGACTTGTTTTATTATTATTATTATTATTACAGCATATTTATAGTGCACCCTTTCATATAACATGTTCAGAGGCACTTTACAAAGTGACAATGTAAATCACACATAAACAACAAGATTATGGGCATGTTAACGATTGTACTGAAATACAAATCATTCATGGTGTCAAACCAACGGAAATTCCAATTGTTCTAGATCGAGTTATACGTATTTTGTTTATTTAAGTGTCGTTGAAAAATATTTATAGATGAAGTTAATCCACCTTTGACTTGTAGCAATCTGAAATCGATTTGTCGGTTGAGAAGGGAGATAACTGCGTATATATTTCAATTTTTTGTAAATTATCGACTAGTCGTTTCAGTAATTATAGAAATATGGTGTTATTTGGAGATATTAGGTTGTTAATTGATACCAGTGTGTAGTATTTGATACGTGTTTGGTAGTATTGGGTTATTATGTTATGTGCTAGTTTTAGATGATATAAGGAGGCAAATTGAACAGTCAGGCATCGGCAATCGCATTTGAAGTAATTTTCCCACGATATTACATACTACTTTTGAAAAACTTCAAGTAATATGCACATTTTGCATTATTATGTTGTAGTATTGGGTAGTATGTGGTGATATTGGGGTGGTATTGGAGTGGTATTGGGTGGTATTGGGTAAATCCTCCTACCCTTTTACAATAGATTTTTATCTTCTTGGAAAGTTTCCCTGGCAACGTTATCTATAGTATTTATATACAATATGGTAGCTTTGTTTCGGGACACCTACATTTTTATTTTTTAAAAATACAAAATCTACATTTTTTGGTTTTCAATTTTTCAGCTCCACCATCCTATGCTGAATGTGTTTTTGGTAAAGTTAATATACGTGAAGAGAATGATAATGAACACATACGAGGCAATATGGATTATGCCCCTGTTTATACCTATTATAACTGGAATCAACATAACGCTAATACATTTGTGCCTGTAGCTGAACAACAATAAAACAGACTATAATATCTTCGTGTCTGTATACGAACGGAAAAATACCCCTACAACATTCCATCTAAATCCGTATACTATACAGGATTAATGCAACACATTTAAAGACAACCCTGCCTTAGCTGAACGAATATCAATATTGTTATTTGGACCTAAAATTTAAAAACTTGTTATTGGTGTGATAGTTTGTTTAAAGTCCATATTGTACATTGAAATTTTTCAAGAAGTAAAACCTTCTCTACTCTAGCCTAGAGTCCGGAAATCAACATCGTACACAGTATAGACTTTTGGCAAGCGTAAATTCCTGGTCCGCATTGTGTATCCGTATTTATTTTGCGTGTGACGTCATCAATGTGTGTGTGTATTGTTCACACGTGATACGGCACACGGCATACGGTATCATGTATCGAACAGCTTTCATACGGAAACGATCCATATACCTTTGTCGTCTTTTACAATTTTTTTTTGCTCCGTTTAGACGCTGAAATATTGCATCATGGCGTTTTTATGAATCTAAGTGTATCCTAGAACACGATGATGTATATTTGATGCGATTTTAACCATGATAAAGACTAGAATTTAATCATTATTTTTGATGGGTTTTTCTCGGAATTTTCATACTTTTCCAGTCTGTCTGTGTGCATGCTGGTTGATCTACGTGCTAAATTTATTGAGGTGAGGCCTTGCAAATCTGTAAATGATTTTAGTTTATGATAAAGGGGTATGAACTTTCTGAAATAATACATTAGTGAATCCATTAATTGCTGTCGAGTCAAGTCGAAGATTTTTTGATAAGATTGGACATTATTTTTAATAGCCCAGCCACTGTCGAGCGACCTCAACCCCTCCGGGAAATTGTAGACTAGGAATTTGACGAGTACTGACGGTGAACTTGGTAGATATCTGCCATCATGCTGTAATAGAACAAAGCTCAGCTCAATGATGCATACGTACGCGACACGAAAATCAGTCAAAACTCAAACACTTCATTGACGCAAAGTATCACATATACGATACGGATACGTGATACGGATGGGGAAAATTCCATTTGCCAAAAATCTCTAGCCTGTCTTAAAATATACGGCTTATATGAACGGCGTATTCCCCGGGTGGTCAGAGTATTTGGTCCGTTGATAAAAGCCTTCTTGTCCGAAATTCAACAACCCATACAGTCTGTCTTGGTGCTCATACTTAGAGATTTGAGATACGAGCTCATACACAAATTCATTTATGGTGTTGCATCATTACAAAAAATGTATTTTCTTCATTGGTTAGAATGTAAGAAAACATGGTCTATACCTGACCTTTCTGTGTGAAATATTTTATAACATCTCATTTTGATGTATATATAACATAGTACATTTTACAACAAAGAGCAGTTCGTTCATAAGATCAAGTCTAAAATGGATATGGTATTATGTTGTTGTTATTGTTATTTATGATGATATTTGATTAACCAGTCCATTATGTCATTTATGTATTTAGTATATATGGCTATCATTCCTTCACTGATCTGCCTATAAAACTATGATGATTTTTGATTAACCAGTCTATTATGTCATTTATGTATTTAGTATATATGGCTACCACGCCTTCACTGATCTGCCTTAAAAACTATTTTTGGAAAATAGCCAAATATAAATATTCACTTTCACTTATAGTTTTAGTGTCAATTATTTTCGTATAATTGATATTAGATATTTATCCAGCCATCCTGAAGTGCCTGTACAAATAACGATAATACTATATTAGTTTATTTATACTGTTTTTTAAAAGAATGTATTGGCATAACATGATGTTATTATTTGTTATATTTGTATTAATTTGTTTTGCAATGAATTATATATTATTACAGAACGATCGTCAAACGTTTTATATTTGGATTTCTGCACCACAATCCTCGTTCCTCGGCCCGCTACCGCCAAGCTACCTATTGAAGACACTCGACATTTTATTGGCCTCAAATCGCAATAAAGCTGTCGGTCATACAGTCATTTGAATTAAAAATGGTAGCAGACCCCATGGGCAAATTGTTGTGTCGGCAAAGCAATCCCCCGAGTGCGGTGCCTCCAATAGGCTCTGTAAAGCTGGTGAATTGGAAAACCCATAGGGCATAATGTGGACACTAACAGATTTCCCAATTATGTTGTCCATGAACAAGTAAACATCTCCCCTTCCCCTAATTGCAAACAACTGGACGTGTCCATCGTTAATCTCTTGAAAGATGTTGGTGCATTGACTAACCCAAAAGGTTTAACGTCGACACTAAACGATTCCACAATTATATCATCCACGAAAATATATATGGACATAGCTGTTTTCCCCATAAGTCTATAATATGTACCATTACCCAGGACGATGATGTGGTGGTCATTTCTAGTGTTTCTGCACGTCTACCTCAAAGATTCTGCTGTTCATATTATTATGTTGTCGCTAAGAATTACATCGCGGTCACCATAGTTGATTTAAAGTATCGTGGTTGTGCCACACTGCTCCAACGGAAAGCCTCTTCATTCCGGTGTGGTTTTTGACAAGGGTGTCGTATTTTTCTATCGGCGGTTATACAAAATAAGCAAACGCTACACGCACTATTCTTATGTAGATGATCTGGAAAACTCCCTCGGGATCATTGTTGCCAAGGATAAATTGGCGCTTTGGGCAAGCGTTAATATTAATTCCTTCGGGATCATTGTTGCCAAGGATAAATTGGCGCTTTGGGCAAGCGTTAATATTATCGACAGAGGTGACGATTGTATCGTGTTGTTGTCATTGCCTTTAGTCAAGACGGACAAGCCTTAAACGTCGTTATGGTTCACCCCCAAACCTAATAATGAAAGAAATGGCGATCTTTCCCTGGTTCTGCACAGTTCTGAAATAGGTATTCTTTACAATCTGAGGTATCGTCATTGGAGTCTTTTCTCTCGTTTATTGGGATGTTTTTTTTTTAAAAATAATTTCATTTGTCCAAGGCTAACATAACAGCCCCGCGGACTTGACAAATCATAGCGCTGCGCTATCGATACTGATCGGACTGTACTGGGCGAACATACGTAGGTCAAGTAGACAAAATAATGTCAAAAACTGTTTGAAAAAATAAAAAAAATTGCAAGTTGAAAACTCAGTAAGCAGATATAAAAAAAATATGTGACTCGCCACACTTTTCAAAGGAGGGCAACTGCTGCGGGATGACCTGGCGCCTGGTACGTTCGGGCATTTTTATGCGCGAACTCTTAGGTTATTTTTTACTGGCATGCGCACAGGTACTATTTCTTTTTCTTTTAACAAGTACCCAAATCGGGGATTTCGTGCGGAGGTAGTTCGGAGGTAAACAGTCTGTGAAGTACAACACTTGCCACTGTACCTGTGTATCGCTAATTATAAACCGAATGTGTGAAGACAGTTCATACATATCACTCAAAAATTTTTCAGTACAAACTCAGTTGATTCACGCTCGATTTGCTACTAAACAAACCCATCGGTTTATTTTCTCAACAGTGTGACCCGAAGAGACCGCGGATTTATTGACCTTGTATGAACTTATCCATAGCTATATCCTTACACCGAGAGAAATTATCTAGTCTCGGTGAAAAGAACCATGGTCATCTGGTAGAAAATTACTTTTGTATTTTTTGGAACGGAAAACAGTGTTTGTAGAAGCAAACTAACCTGCCGCACATGAGGAAGTCATTATACTAATAATAAAAGGCGAGACCTCTTTTTGCGGCGCAGGCTTATCACTGAGTAGTAAACCGTCCACAAACAATAATAAAGGAAGCCTAGTGACGAGTGTAGTAAGTAGGCTATAGACTATAGGTTTGAGTCGAGATTACTCGCTTTCAGTATACTCTGTTTTTGCGATAACCAATTATGTGAGAAATACCATACTGACATTCGGTTTTTAAAAGTTGTACGCGAACTAAATGCGCTTGTTAGATACTGACAGAGCAGCCCCGAGTCGAACAATCGCCGCCCGAGCTGTCTTCGTCAGCTAGTTTCACAATATTGTGCAATAGGTGTATTAATGTGATTTTTAGGTTTAACCCCGCAAACAATGCCAAAATAGTGTTTTCACTGCTTACAGAAAACTGAAATTTAAAAAAAAATTTTTTATGAGGGTGACCCTCCCACACACTCCCTATCGAGCTGCCGCTCGGTCTGCGCAGCCTCATGCCTGGCACATACTGTCAACATTGTATATTTTTCCGTTTCCGCCCTCCCCCCCCCCACAATATATATTTCACGGCTACGTTGCGACGGTACCAGCATACCCAGTTGTTGACACCCATTACATCACTCCTGTCTAACAAATCATAAAGCTGTGGTGTTACGGTGGCGGCATAGTATTTCACCGTAACACCACAGCCACTCTAACCATTCATAATACATCTAACTATCCCTTTACAGCACTTCACTCCCTACACATTTCCCCTCGTCCTACTTTCCCAAACGTCAACAACACATCTCATACATCCAGTTCGCTGATTAACCCTTGTACCACGTCTACTGGATATTGGGTTGCTAGTTTTTATCGTTTATAAAGGTAGTAGTATATTACTGTTTTATTGACCTTCCTAAATAATAAGTTAATCCTTCTATTCCCGCATAGAAAGCCAACATAGTAATACATTCTACCGTATGATAAGGTACTCATCTATAGCATTATTTTTCTTTATTTGAGAAGAAAACTTGATTTATAAAGGTGTGTGTTTAGATAGTCGGGGTCAAAGTTATAAACGATTAATCAACAAACAAAATGTTGTCCTGGGTTACTGTAGGGCCTTCACAATATCATTAGAAAAAAAGTCATAGTATTTTACCCATAAAGGGCAAGGAAGTGTGTTCATAAATGTACATTTAATTGTTTATTACAATATGCAGCTATTGTAAGACTTGCAATAAGGAAATAGTGGCGAAGGAAAGACGACACAAGTGTGTGGTTAAAAGTGGCGTGTTCTTAATATACTGTGTATCTAAGTGGTATGATTTCAACGTGGGTGTAATATAGCCTCTGTATATAACTTATACCTCAATGGATTGCGAAATAAAAAGGTGTCCATTAGCTGTATAGGCCAGTTATCAAAAATTAAATACAGTTATTGGTTTAAACTACACGTGGTATAGACTGTTATTTCATTGATCATCGTAAACAGTATAAAACTACTAAACCTATCAATATGGGAAAGTTAAATATATTTGAAATAACATTCTCTAACCCCCAGGCGGTGTACTATGGAGGGCAATTAATACAAGGCCATGTTACAGTGGAATTAAATGATGAAATAAAAATGAGAGGTAATTTCTGTTTTATGTTTCTCTATGTTTATTGGGTTTGGGGGCCACGGTTGATGAGTGAGTTAGGCGCTGGTTCTGGCGTGATTTCCTAATGTCAGTGGAAAGGTGTTAACAAGAGAGAGAGAGAGAGAGAGGGGGGGGTTAAAGTCCACTCGACACAAACTAGGTCATTTCGGGACTAACACTTGGTTTAATTTTATTTCAATAATTCGCTTGTGCGTAGGGGTCTTTTCTTTACCAGTGGGAGGAAACCGGATGACCCGGAGAAAACCCACGAGGTTGGACAGGTAACCCTACTCCTTGTCACGTACAACCGGCGATTCGAAACCCCGCCAGTTGACTCAGTGACACGCCTTATGATGCAGCGCGCCCGTGCTAACCATTCGTCCACCCAACCCCAAGGTCCCGTGTACACGTTGGCGTAACAAAGTACCTTGGAAATCTTATAATTCGAAGAGCCGGCGGAAACGGATGTCCGGGCAAACGTTTCCTCATTGGACATTACATGGTATGTGTTACTTTTCATTAGCCTGATTGGTGAAGAAAAGTTGGACCTTAAACCCAATTTCATTAAATTTCATGTTTTTCATAGCGTATAGGATGACGTTCAATAATATTTCAAGGCTTTTCCTTGTTAATCACCTGTCATATTTTATGCCAGTGTTGTCAACCATAAAGATCATAGAGGGTCTCGTTCTTTAAAAAGATACATTATATAAGGTTAGATAAAGAGCTGGCAGTTCTCACTATAATAGTTAAAAACTAGATAATGTAAAGGGAATTTGCTGAAAATTTCAGTCAAATTAATCCACTCTGAAACAGGAATTAAGCAATTGAATTTTGGGTCTAGCCTCGATCATCATTACTAAAGTCGGTACGATAAAATACATAGTCTCGATTATCTACTTCCTGATTTCGAAATGAGAGTTGAGCAGCAGATCGGATTCTAATCCAGTACATATCGCAGTCTAGTAATAACACCGAGAGTTAATTATGGTCTGGATAAGTTAATCAATGTCTAATTAATAATTTAAATCGTTCGTTTGTTCCTAAAGCCTAAAGTGTTACATCCACTTCTACCATAGGTGATATCGTAGACAAGTAATCTAGATAACATTTTCAGACCTAAATAGGCAGATTTAGCTCTTGCATAATCTATGTTTAAATAAAAAATTTGCTGACTCCATCTCTGCTTAGTTTACCAGAACCTAATTTACACCGGTTCTAACACGTTCCAACATTGATATCCGTAGACCTGCGCAGTAAAGCCCTGGATACAATGTAACAGATATCTATCGTGTTGACTGAACTAGATAATGGTCTACATATTAGTAAAATCGTGTGTAGTCAAGACCCAATAAACCCCATTATGTTCTTCTGATTGAATACATTGTACGTAAATCACATTGGGGAGTACACATTATTATAGTATTTATATTTCTGAACATATGAATGTATTTAAATATTATATTCACTCCCCAAGGCCACTAACGTATACTGTATTGAATTAAAAGTACATAATGGGGCTTGAACGGTGTCTTAGCTAAGATGATATTAGTTTTTCTTTCTATAAACCTCATATTTCTATATACTTTTACCTGAGAGTATAATATTTTATATATTTTATATATAAATATATATTTCCGAACAGTAAAATGAAAAAATAATGCGATTGTTAATAAATATTACACAAAACAAAAGCTTCCGTTGAAACAATAACATATTCTTTAAGATTTTTCACCGTAGGTAATAATATATTATCTATTTGGTGGGCCGACACAGCACCGATGAGCAAAGCGCGTTTTGGAATGGGAATTACGAGAAGGTCGTAGCGTCGTTGCCCTCGTAGCGAGAGAGAGAGAGAGATAGAGAGAGAGAGAGACTAACGCATGGCGCATGGTTCAATTTTATTTCAATTATTCGCTTGCGCGTAGGGGTCTTTAGCTGTGGGAGGAAAGCGAAGGACCCGGAGAAAATCCACGAGGTTGAACAGGTGACCCTACTCCTTGTCACGTACAACCGGGAAATAGAAACCACGCCAGTCGATTCAATGACAGACCTTTTGATACAGCATACACACGCTAACCATTCACCCATATTAAAAGATCCTGCAAGTATGTAGTCCATGAAAAGTAAACATTCCTGCGCGTAAAAGAAAAACAAACGTAACAGAAGGAATTCGAAATAAAGAGTAGGTCATACCGCCGCTGTCCATGTATTAATTTGCCTCATTAGCCCAGTCGGTGCAGAAACGTAAGATGTTACAGCGCACGTGCTAACCATTCGGCCATCCAATCCCCCTTTGTCCCGTATGACGTAAAACAGTCTTCATTAGCCCAGTTTATGCAGAAAAGTAAGACGTTAAACCCCATTTCATATCATTTCATATCATTTCTCAAAATTATCAAAGACATTTATGATTATCATAAACAAACGTTGTCCAAACACATAACCCTGCTAAGCAAATATGTCAGCATAGGATTGTTCCTTTGCTCGTGATCTATGACGAAAAATTGAGCTGGCCTTATCATTTAGCACTAACCCACTGTCATGACGATTTTTTGAGGATTGTGCGATAATTAAAATATTAGGCATCAGACCAGTAATAATCCCCCTCCCATTAACTTCAACTTTAAATCCACGACATTTCTTAGCCTGTAATATTTTTTTAACATTACGACGAATCTATAAGCAGTGACGCTATATTAGTAGGAGATCACAAATATTCGTGCCTCTTTACTTCCTAATCCTGCCTCCTCAACCCTGGCAGAAAATATAAATTATAAACTGAAACACTCTTTTACAATTCTATGCGAATTTAACACCGTGGTTTTTTTCCTTAAGTGGCTATATATCAAAAAAACAAAACAAAAAAAAACAATCCCCCCCCCCAAAAAAAATAAAAAAAACAACAATAGTATGAATTGAACAACTATATCATTATTAATTGTTTAATCACTGTCTAATATTTTACTCATCATCAACAGTCACATTGTGCTTGAAGTAAACAGTCGCGTTTTTTAACAGTACTGCATCATCTTACTTTAAGTAAACATTTTCTTTGACAGCACAGTACCGTGATTTTGTTGACTGTACAATCACATTTTGTTTTGACTACACAGTTACATAGTGCATGTTCAAATAAATGAAATAAAATGGTGTTTAAGGTCCTATTGTTCTGCTCCGACTGGAATAATTGCGACACTACAGGTAGGGTTGCGTCGTGATTATCCTTCGTCTCGGCACTAAAAAACATTAGATCTCTAAAGAATGATGTGACACTATGACCAATTAACTCTGACGACTTCCACTTTGTGTATACGGCCGGTGACACTAGGGTAACACTTATCCAGTAGACGTGGTACAAGGGTTAATCAGCGAACTGGATGTATGAGATGTGTTGTTCACGTTTGGGAAAGTAGGACGAGGGGAAATGTGTAGGGAGTGAAGTGCTGTAAAGGGATAGTTAGATGTATTATGAATGGTTAGAGTGGCTGTGGTGTTACGGTGAAATACTATGCCGCCACCGTAACACCACAGCTTTATGATTTGTTAGACAGGAGTGATGTAATGGGTGTCAACAACTGGGTATGCTGGTACCGTCGCAATGTAGCCGTGAAATATATATTGTGGGGGGGGGCGGAAACGGGAAAATATACAATTGTACTGAAAAATTTTTGAGTGATATGTATGAACTGTCTTCACACATTTGGTTTATAATTAGCGATACACAGGTACAGTGGCAAGTGTTGTACTTCACAGACTGTTTACCTCCGAACTACCTCCGCACGAAATCCCCGATTTGGGTACTTGTAAAAGAAAAAGAAATAGTACCTGTGCGCGTGCCAGTAAAAAAAAAACCTAAGAGTTCGCGCATAAAAATGCCCGAACGTACCAGGCGCCAGGCCATCCAGTAGACGTGGTACAAGGGTTAATCAGCGAACTGGATGTATGAGATGTGTTGTTGACGTTTGGGAAAGTAGGACGAGGGGAAATGTGTAGGGAGTGCTGTAAAGGGATAGTTAGATGTATTATGAATGGTTAGAGTGGCTGTGGTGTTACGGTGAAATACTATGCCGCCACCGTAACACCACAGCTTTATGATTTGTTAGACAGGAGTGATGTAATGGGTGTCAACAACTGGGTATGCTGGTACCGTCGCAACGTAGCCGTGAAATATATATTGTGGGGGGGGGGGGGCGGAAACGGAAAAATATACAATGTTGACAGTATGTGCCAGGCATGAGGCTGCGCAGACCGAGCGGCAGCTCGATAGGGAGTGTGTGGGAGGGTCACCCTCATAAAAAAATTTTTTTTGAATTTCAGTTTTCTGTAAGCAGTGAAAACACTATTTTGGCATTGTTTGCGGGGTTAAACCTAAAAATCACATTAATACACCTATTGCACGATATTGTGAAACTAGCTGACGAAGACAGCTCGGGCGGCGATTGTTCGACTCGGGGCTGCTCTGTCAGTATCTAACAAACGCATTTAGTTCGCGTACAACTTTTAAAAACCGAATGTCAGTATGGTATTTCTCACATAATTGGTTATCGCAAAAACAGAGTAAACTGAAAGCCAGTAATCTCGACTCAAACCTATAGTCTATAGCCCACTTACTACACTGTCACTAGGCTTCCTATATTATTGTTTGTGGACGGTTTACTACTCAGTGATAAGCCTGCGCCGCAAAAAGAGGTCTCGCCTTTTATTATTAGTATAATGACTTCCTCATGTGCGGCAGGTTAGTTTGCTTCTAAAAACACTGTTTTCCGTTCCAAAAAATACAAAAGTAATTTTCTACCAGATGACCATGGTTCTTTTCACCGAGACTAGATAATTTCTCTCGGTGTAAGGATATAGCTATGGATAAGTTCATACAAGGTCAATAAATCCGCGGTCACTTCGGGTCACACTGTTGAGAAAATAAACCGATGGGTTTGTTTAGTAGCAAATCGAGCGTGAATCAACTGAGTTTGTACTGAAAAATTTTTGAGTGATATGTATGAACTGTCTTCACACATTCGGTTTATAATTAGCGATACACAGGTACAGTGGCAAATGTTGTACTTCACAGACTGTTTACCTCCGAACTACCTCCGCACGAAATCCCCGATTTGGGTACTTGTTAAAAGAAAAAGAAATAGTACCTGTGCGCGTGCCAGTAAAAAAAACCCTAAGAGTTCGCGCATAAAAATGCCCGAACGTACCAGGCGCCAGGTCATCCAGTAGACGTGGTACAAGGGTTAATCAGCGAACTGGATGTATGAGATGTGTTGTTGACGTTTGGGAAAGTAGGACGAGGGGAAATGTGTAGGGAGTGAAGTGCTGTAAAGGGATAGTTAGATGTATTATGAATGGTTAGAGTGGCTGTGGTGTTACGGTGAAATACTATGCCGCCACCGTAACACCACAGCTTTATGATTTGTTAGACAGGAGTGATGTAATGGGTGTCAACAACTGGGTATGCTGATACCGTCGCAACGTAGCCGTGAAATATATATTGTGGGGGGGGGGGGGGAGGGCGGAAATGGAAAAATATACAATGTTGACAGTATGTGCCAGGCATGAGGCTGCGCAGACCGAGCGGCAGCTCGATAGGGAGTGTGTGGGAGTGTCACCCTCATAAAAAAAATCTTTTTTAAATTTCAGTTTTCTGTAAGCAGTGAAAACACTATTTTGGCATTGTTTGCGGGGTTAAACCTAAAAATCACATTAATACACCTATTGCACGATATTGTGATTGGACGTGTGAAAGGTTATTCGGGGTTAACGACGTATTGAATAACCAATGAAGTCGTGTTGAATCAACCGTGTTTTGACTCCGGGCTGCTCTGTCAGTATCTAACAAACGCATTTAGTGCGCGTACAACTTTTAAAAACCGAATGTCAGTATGGTATTTCTCACAGAATTGGTTATCGCAAAAACAGAGCAAACTGAAAGCGAGTAATCTCGACTCAAACCTATAGTCTATAGCCTACTTACTACACTCGTTTTTCTGGTGTTTACGTCCACTTCCACCTAAGGTGATATCGTAGACAAAAACTACACTCGTCACTAGGCTTCCTATATTATTGTTTGTGGACGGTTTACTACTCAGTGATAAGCCTGCGCCGCAAAAAGAGGTCTCGCCTTTTATTATTAGTATAATGACTTCCTCATGTGCGGCAGGTTAGTTTGCTTCTAAAAACACTGTTTTCCGTTCCAAAAAATACAAAAGTAATTTTCTACCAGATGACCATGGTTCTTTTCACCGAGACTAGATAATTTCTCTCGGTGTAATGATATAGCTATGGATAAGTTCATACAAGGTCAATAAATCCGCGGTCACACTGTTGAGAAAATAAACCGATGGGTTTGTTTAGTAGCAAATCGAGCGTGAATCAACTGAGTTTGTACTGAAAAATTTTTGAGTGATATGTATGAACTGTCTTCACACATTCGGTTTATAATTAGCGATACACAGGTAGAGTGGCAAGTATTGTACTTCACAGACTGTTTACCTCCGAACTACCTCCGCACGAAATCCCCGATTTGGGTACTTGTTAAAAGAAAAAGAAATAGTACCTGTGCGCGTGCCAGTAAAAAAAACCCTAAGAGTTCGCGCATAAAAATGCCCGAACGTACCAGGCGCCAGGTCATCCAGTAGACGTGGTACAAGGGTTAATCAGCGAACTGGATGTATGAGATGTGTTGTTGACGTTTGGGAAAGTAGGATGAGGGGAAATGTGTAGGGAGTGAAGTGCTGTAAAGGGATAGTTAGATGTATTATGAATGGTTAGAGTGGCTGTGGTGTTACGGTGAAATACTATGCCGCCACCGTAACACCACAGCTTTATGATTTGTTAGACAGGAGTGATGTAATGGGTGTCAACAACTGGGTATGCTGGTACCGTCGCAACGTAGCCGTGAAATATATATTGTGGGGGGGAAGGGCGGAAACGGAAAAATATACAACGTTGACAGTATGTGCCAGGCATGAGGCTGCGCAGACCGAGCGGCAGCTCGATAGGGAGTGTGTGGGAGGGTCACCCTCATAAAGATTTTTTTTTTTAAATTTCAGTTTTCTGTAAGCAGTGAAAACACTATTTTGGCATTGTTTTTGGGGTTAAACCTAAAAATCACATTAATACACCTATTGCACGATATTGTGAAACTAGCTGACGAAGACAGCTCGGGCGGCGATTGTTCGACTCGGGGCTGCTCTGTCAGTATCTAACAAACGCATTTAGTTCGTGTACAACTTTTAAAAACCGAATGTCAGTATGGTATTTCTCACATAATTGGTTATCGCAAAAACAGAGTAAACTGAAAGCGAGTAATCTCGACTCAAATCTATAGTCTATAGCCGACTTACAGTACTACACTCGTCACTAGGCTTCCTATATTATTGTTTGTGGACGGTTTACTACTCAGTGATAAGCCTGCGCCGCAAAAAGAGGTCTCGCCTTTTATTATTAGTATAATGACTTCCTCATGTGCGGCAGGTTAGTTTGCTTCTAAAAACACTGTTTTCCGTTCCAAAAAATACAAAAGTAATTTTCTACCAGATGACCATGGTTCTTTTCACCGAGACTAGATAATTTCTCTCGGTGTAAGGATATAGCTATGGATAAGTTCATACAAGGTCAATAAATCCGCGGTCACTTCGGGTCACACTGTTGAGAAAATAAACCGATGGGTTTGTTTAGTAGCAAATCGAGCGTGAATCAACTGAGTTTGTACTGACAAATTTTTGAGTGATATGTATGAACTGTCTTCACACATTCGGTTTATAATTAGCGATATACAGGTACAGTGGCATGGGTTGTACTTCACAGACTGTTTACCTCCGAACTACCTCCGCACGAAATCCCCGATTTGGGTACTTGTTAAAAGAAAAAGAAATAGTACCTGTGCGCATGCCAGTAAAAAAAAAAACCTAAGAGTTCGCGCATAAAAATGCCCGAACGTACCAGGCGCCAGGTCATCTAGTCAGGACTTTCACGCTGAGTATAGTGACACTGCAGTCAATTAGGAACTAACTTTGACTTCACGTTGTATATAAAACTTCAAGGATCAATTGACTCTGGAAAACTTTGTTGGTTAGCTATGTTTTTATATCTTTATAATATCCATAATGCAAACGTTGCATACAGGAAACTACACACACAGCTATGACATTAAATATAAGCTAAATATAAGTTCTCTATCAATTAGCGAGTGTTCTGAGGCGAGAGCCATTCCGGCCTCTAAGCCGAGGGGCTGTGGGTGTGATGTTCTCCTAGGAACTCCGAACGATATCTCTCCTATGATCTCTGAATGATGTCTTCAACCTAGCCTCTAAGCCGAGGAGGCTGTGGGTATGATGTTCCTCTGGAAACCCTGAATGATGTCGGTATACCGGTCTTTAAGCCGAGACGGCTAGCGGTATGTCTCACTAGGAAGCCCATCCGATGTCTCTCCTAAGATCTATAAATGATGTCCGAAGGGAAATTGAACCTCGCTCTTTCTTATATAGAAATATAGATGTGTCAGCTATTAGGGTAGGGCGGGCCATTTTGGGGTAAATGTTTCGTATGGGCACCGTTTTACGTCAACAGTAGTCAATTTAATTGGACTAATTTGTGCACGAGATGACTGGGCGATAGTACCCTACTTTCAGCAATGGATGGTGACAGGAAATGTCCTTGAGTTAGTCGAAGGAACTTGAATCTTGCAAAATATCTACTTTTTCGGTAATTAAATGAACGTCTCCGATTGCTTTGATATTATTCAAACTTAATGCTTGGAGGTTCTCATGTTCCACATGTTCCTAAAAAAAATAATCTTCTTGTTGCTTTCAGGAATAAGACTTCATTTTGATGGCGGTGCACGAGTTCACTGGACAGAACGACACAGCACAGGCAGTGGTAAAAGTAGACGCACAGTTACAAGACATTATTCATCCAGTGAAACATATTTTAATCATACGCTGGTGTTATTTGGCAAAGGTAAGATACATTTGTATTTGATTGGCCTTGCTGTAGGGACTTTGGGGGTTTTCACCTAAACTTGCAAAATTTGGTTCCATAGTGATCTCATATCTGGAAATAGTCAAAACCTATGTCAACATAAATATAAAATGAAAATATTGCTATCGGCCACAACCTTAATCAAAACAACTACTACCATATTGAGCATGCTCAACGGGTATGCTAACTAATGATAGAATACCGATGGATTGTGGGACCCACGGTGGCTAAGTGGGTAAGACGCTGGCTCGCGTGTTCGATCCCTGCATTGGCCGAGAATGTTCATAGGGATTTTACGACGTGGTTTCCCCTTGTCAGTGGAGCTGAACGGAGGGCCCGACAAAAAAAGAGAAAAATTGAGGTCCCGTTTATACCTTGATGTAAAAGATCCCTTGGCAGTTGGAATTCGATATAAGAGTGGACCATATAATTATATATATTGCCGTTGCCCGGGCAAAAGCTCCTGTATGGCGTATGCCCGTCTTTATTAGCCCAGTCGGAGCAGAACAGTAGGACGTTAAGCCCCCATTTTTTCTACTTCCGATGGATAATTGATAAACGCTTAGTAGTTTTAACATTAAAATGATCGGTTAAGAATAAACATTATTACATCAATTTTATTTCAATAATTCACTTGCGCCTACGGGTTCTTTAACAGTGGGGGGAAATCGGAGGATACGGAGAAAACCCACAAGAGGCGAGTCGAAACCATTCGGCATCCACCCCCACCCCCTAAAAAACAACTTGGTTTCCGTAATTTATGCTAAAGAAATTATAGGTTCACATCTAGTTGCACCCATTATTTAATATATGCGTCAATTGATTTATGTTATCAGGTCCAGGACAGAAGGGAGACGACCCAGTTTTAAAAGCAGGAAGATATACATATCCATTTAGTTTCCAGTTGCCCACAGGAATACCATCATCTTATGAAAGTTTTACTGGGCGGGTTCGATATTCAGTGGGTGGTGTAATCGATCGTCCCTGGAAGTTTGATCATACGACGAGGCGGGCTTTTACAATTGTCGATCCTCTTGATCTTAATCTGGAGCCAATGGCCACGGTAAATATGTTTTGTCAAATAAAAAGATTCGCGTTTTGATTCACTGTCGTCTGATTTTCATACACTCACATTTCAGTGTGGAAGTATAATGTCAGTCCGACAGCTGTTGACCTCATTAGGAGATAAACCTTATCGATATTATGCGTGCCCCGATCTTCCGTTAAAGAGTTACGTCCCCTTTTCATTTTCGAAGGGATGTTTTTTTTTTTAAATTTCGTAAGAAGCAATGGGGTAATAACAAAACAAATCCTGTCGATTTTCCGAGTCACGCATGTCCGACAGCTTTGTGAGTCCAACGATTTTGTTTTCAAATTTGGTTTGAATCATTGGGGCCTTGTGTCAATGAACACCTATCAATGTTTTCTCGACCTTCCGTTGCAGAGTTTTTCGCAAACCCTGTGAGCTCAATATATTCTACAGTTCTTTTCTTAAATTTGTTGTAACGTACCGGTGTTATTAGAGAAGAACCCTATCCATTTTAAGTTGGAGGACGAACCCTGTTAATTTCACTGTGAGCGCAATAGATGATAAAGTCTTTACCAGATTTTTCTCAATTATTTAGAGCACGAACCCTACCGATTATCCTATTGATGAATTCTACTGACTTTCAAATTGTTTTCCTTCGGAAAAACTGTTGTCCATATGATCTTCTTCGGGACATGGCTGCTGTGTGGGCGTTGGGCGTATTTCCACGCATTTTGCATATTATTAGGCTATAGCTATGTAATTGGAAACTGTGTCTAACAAATAGAGGAGCAACAGATAATTAATTTAAGCATACTTTATTGTAAATTATATGCAAAGTTATTAATTGTGAATATAATGAGAGGGCCGTTTTATTGGGGTTTTTTTTAGCACATTTCACCATTTTTTCCCAAAATTGATCTCGCACTAATACGGGACCCACCAACCTACTTAAAAAAAATTGCCAGGGTGTGGCTATTTTCAGGTATTAATGAATTACTAATTGTGAAGTAAAGATTAGTAGGTCTTAAATATGAATGAATATAGGCTTAGTTAAAATTTTGTATACAATTGCCAGGTTGAGCCATAGTTCTACCGGACTACTAACAATAATAGAAAGCATACCGTGAACGCAGTATAGGTCCGTCAGCTCAATGAGACAACGTCCCATAATAGCATCCATACCGTGAACAGAGTATAGGTCCCTCAACTGAATGAGACAATGTCCCATAATAGCAAGCATACCCTGAACAGAGTATAGGTCCCTCAACTGAATGAGACAATGTCCCATAATAAAAAGCATACCGTGAACACTGCGTAAGTCCTTCAAAAGAATGCTTAGATCAATGATCACAAATCATTTAAATTAATTGTATTTGCTGATAATCTCTGTGTTTTTTCAGCAAGGTGCCTCAGCAAATGATGATAAAACGTTGTGTTGTTTGTGCTGTAAATCCGGGCCAATTAGTTGTATGTTCAAACTTGATAGATTGGGTTACGTACCCGGTGAGGTCATTCCCATCACCGGTGAGATAAATAATGGCAGTCGACGAAAGATGACCAGTTCTTTCGCTGACATTAGAATGGTGAGTCGGGATTAAGATTAATCTTGATAGTAACACATATAATCCTTTAGTGGCATTTAGCAATTGGAAACATAACAAACACATAGTATAACTCTATTATTTGGAACCCTAACAGATATACCGTTCAGGCGCTTATTTTTAAACCAGTTCAAAATCGCCGGGGATTTTAAGGCAGACAGACAGGGTCGTGTTGCGTTCACACTTACTATAAGCCAAACCAGTTTAACTATTCTGACTAGGGCGATTGGGGTGGCCTAGTGGTCTAGAGTGTCACGCTTCGACCTCTAGTTGGCCGGTCACCTCTGACTTGCGGTTGTGGTTTAGATCCCTGGTATAAGCGTGTGTGACTTGGAGATAGGGGGTGCCTGCTCAACCTCGTGGGTTTACTCCGGGTACTCCGGTTTCCTTCCACAGCAAAGACCCCTGCGCGTGCGCTAAGATCATTAAAATAGAAATAAGACAAATTTGTGTGCGATATCACCTTCTGTGGAAGCGGACGTTAAAATAACACTAAGTACAACAAGTGTTCTGATTTCTTCGGTGGGAGGTTAGAGTTTACTCCGTATTGGTAGCTTCATATTCTTTATTCGGTTCTTGCACGCTATCGATAACAATGGCACTGCATTACGCGGCTAGTTGCCATGAATGTAACTTACCGCGCGTGTCCAAAGCCAGCTGGGGTCGGGGTTTTTAAGACGATTCGTTCAGACGGCCAATATGAACCAGTTTAAAATAAAAATACTCGCACGATGCGGTTTTTAAACTAGTTTATTTGCACTACATTTACGTTCAAACGACAAAGTTATACTGGTTTAACGACCCCCGTGGTTTTTAAACCTGTTCAACTTAAGTGTCTGACCGGGATAAAAGACGAACATGGGTCTAAAAGCACATTAATGTACGAGTGTGTAATGAAGTGATTTACGTTCAGTTTTTAAAAAAAAAAATCATTTAAGTTTCAATCAAGTATGTTGGGTTCAACGAACATCAGTTGTTTACGTTTGCTTTGTCTATTCTACACGGGATGCTTTGAAGTTATCATTTTGTCGTTTGTGAATCAGTCATTTTTGGGTACTTCTCAGTCGTGTATATATTATCGACTGATAGAGAATCTGTTTCAGAAGAGTAATTTGCCCCTGAATTTGATAATTAGGAGATAAACACTTTCTTTTTCGCATTTAAAGGGGTGTTATTGTGGAAAATCTCAGGACATGTCTATTGCACATTAACCCCCCCCCCCCTATAAATACGAAACAGGAAGTGTTTATCGACATTGTAACATGCTATTTTAAGATTTTAAAAGAAATTACTAAACAGAATGGTGTTATTGTCCAATAGACAGTGTCTAATAATAATTGACCAATCAATGCAAGATTCACCCTTAAGCATGTTACAATATCGCTTACAAACGTAATAGACTTTAGGCATATTTTGCTTACTGACATTTTAATGTTATATTTAAAAGAGATTTCCAGCATTACATGGCGCGTTTGAGATACAGTTTTATAAAATGTTATTCCCCAACTCTCTTGTTATCAACTGATGACGTTTTCATACATTTCGACATTCATGTACCATTACGTCATCATTACTTTCAGACTGTTCAATATCACGCCAGAACAAAAACTAGAACAAGATGTAATATTGTGTCTAAAATCTGGCATGGTGCCATTGAACCAGGTGATAGTGATATTTGGAACGGAGATCATCTGCCTGTACCTCCGTTACCCCCGTCTGGTTTACGAGGATGTCGAATTATAGATATCAAATATACAGCAGTGGTAAGATACATACATTTATGTTTTATTTCCTATTTATGGATATGGAATGAAATGAAATGAAATGGGGTTTAACGTCCTGCTGTTCTACTTCGAACTGCGCTAATAAAGACGAGCATACGCCATACAGTGTGCTGAGGGAATTTTTGCCTACGGCCTACTCTTATTTCGACTTCCAACTGTCAAAGGATCTTTTACGCGCATTCCTATGTGTACACGGGACCTCCGTTTTTCGTCCCACCCGAACGACTAAACAACAGTCCTTGGCATGCCCCTTGTTATGCATTTATGACAAGTGGGGAACCACGCCGGAAAATTTGGGTGAACTTTCTCGGTCAATGCAGGGATCGAACACCCGACTTCCAGGCTAGCGAGCCAGGGTCTTACCCACTTAGCCACCGTGAACCCCTCCTATGTATGGCTGTAATGTATTCATAATAGTGGCTTTAAAAGCCTGGTTAGAATTAAAATATATTATGATTTATGTATGCATCTCCTCTATCATATTGAGTACATGTATCAGCACCATGTCATGAGTAGTAACAGAGAGAGAGAGAGAGCGTTTAACGTCCACTCGACACAAACTAGGTCATTTCGGGACTAACACATGGTTCAATTTTATTTCAATAATTCGCTTGCGCGTAGGGGTCTTTAGCAGTGGGAGGAAACCGGAGGACCCGGAGAAAACCCACGAGGTTGGACAGTCGACCCTATTCCTTGTCACGTACAACCGAGGATTCGAAACGAGTAGTAACGGGTTATTAATACGTGAGTCAACACCTGCGATACATTAATATCAGTTGTTTTCTCCGATTTTTGTTCTCTGTTTTCCCTCATAATCTAGCAATATGCTAGGTGGGTGGTGGGCCCTTGGGGAAGTTTGTCCCCCCCCCCCGTGAAAAAATTGTCGACCATAAAAACGATAGATATACATTGTTCGTAATTTTACAGCACCCCTGAGAACACTTCCCGCCCCCTCGTTGCTCTGAGCTGGTTACGGACCTGGGTTTAACTGTCTGTAATCTATATATTTAAAATATTGGCATCCATGTTTATATCGTGTTTAGTGAGAAAGGGTTATTAATTGATCCCCGTGGATGCATCTGAGATAGCACTGATGTCAACTTTTGTCATTTGTTTTCCTCGTGACTATGAATTCTGATATTTCCTTTGTATATTGTTTTCAGTTAAATGTTGTTCCGTCTGGTTTAGCTTTTGACTTGGTGGTGCCAATTGATATCATATTAGGCTCAATACCTCTCCAGAGAGTAGCACAACAGTATGGTCTACCACCACCTCTTCCAGGGACTAATGCAATACCAATGCAACCATCAGCTCCTTCCAATATGGGTTTGCGTAAGTAAACCTGGTTTTATTATTTAAAATGATGTATTTGTCCACCGTAAACATTGTTGCTTATCATAGACCGTTAGGGCCAAGTCCGACGGATGTCTGCTTTACCTATACTCTATTGGCCGTCAGGAAACTACATGTAAAGATTGATGTTTTTCAATGTGATTAAAATACAGATCTATATTTCGTTTCGTTTCTTTATACTTTTGATGCCCTCTACCAGATGTAGTAGGAGGTCGCGTCAGAGGTCATGCGAGCAGCTTTTGGCCCTATGACGTCAGATATTTGATTAACCAATCAGCGTTGATGTTTCTAGTGGGTTACCCACAGTTCCGTGCAGCCCAGGCCGTTTCATTGGCTAATCCCTCACATCATTACAACTCTTTCAGATGCTAGTGTAGTAAAGACAAGTAAAACGAAATTTTGTACTATAAACAAAGGAAACGAAATAGGATCTGTGTTTTAATCACATTGAACATTTTTTTATGGGAGACAAGCACTGGTTTTATTCTAAAAGCACAACGTTTCGACAAATATTCCCAATCGCTAAATGCTACTTAAAGATTATTCTGTTGATTCTTTTAGAATTTGTCATAAAAAGTTGCATTTGTAACTGTAGTTAATGTGCCTATCAAATGTAACGATTTATCCATAATTGACAGGGCTGCTGATGAGCGTATATTTTTTGAAATAATTTCGGAAATGTGACGATTTTGGAAATGTAAATGTAATTATTTTGTAGATCTTTTACACTACAACCTTCACAAACAAAGCTATGGTGAGCTTATATTAGTTGCCTGGCAATGGGTTGTTTTAAGAAAATGGCACGTTTTGTTTCTTATTTTCGTTTAAAAATAAGCCTTGTTTTTTTTTCAGCTCCGCCATCCTATGCTGAATGTGCCTTTGGTAAGGTTAATATACGCGAAGAGAGTGATAATGAACACACACGTGGGAATATGGACTATGCTCCTGTTTACTCATATTATAATTGGAATCAACATGAAGCTAATACATTTATGCCTGTAACTGAGCAAGAGACTGAGTAAAACAAGCTATGATCATACTATAATCCTACAATATTCCGTCCAAATGCATGTATTATAACTATTTGATGTTATATAACGAATACTGTACGAGGTTTATATACTATAATCCTACAATATTCCGTCCAAATGCATGTATTATAACTATTTGATGTTATATAACGAATACTGTACGGGGTTTATATACTATAATCCTACAATATTCCGTCCAAATGCATGTATTATAACTATTTGATGTGATATAACGAATACTGTACGGGGTTTATATACTATACTTAAAGGCACTCATGTCTGTAGCTCAGCGAATAGAGGAAAATATAATATCTCAAATTTGACCATTTACAACTGTCTGATTCGTAGGACTCAAATAACATTGCTTCACATTTGGGTGATATTTGGTGCTAACATAACAAACACCGCTCTAGCCTTGGTGCTTGAAATTTAACATCGCACATACAGTAGTCTGTTTTAGGAGTGATATCTTCTAATGTGAAATGTCATCATATAACCAGATGCATCTTCGGTGGTGAATTATTTAAAACAACCAATCGGATTAAAAAACAAGATCTATATTTCGTTTCGTTTTTTATCCTTTCGATGGCCTACACTACATGAAGATCTGACCAGTTGTAGTGGAAGGTCGCGTCAGATGTCAGACACTGATTAATCAATCAGCGTTAACGTTTCTAGTGGTTTACCCAAAGTTCCGTGCACCTCATGTCAAAAACTCACCGTAGCAGATTGTTTCCTTGGCTAATATAACAACTCTTCCAGACCTTAGTGTAGTAAAGACAGGTAAACGAAATTTTGAACTATAAAAAACGAAACGAAATAGGATCTATGTTTTAATCAGATTGTAAAACCACACGCTTTGTTCACTTTGCGCTGTGAGCACGTTTTGTGGATTTGGTGCTATATAAATGAACATATATAGAGCATCTCCTACTCGTCTTTTTTTATATCAAAAAATATTAACACAAGTCGATAAAGTAAAAAAAAAACGAGGCTCTTATTTATCACTGAATCCTTCCTTACATGCATAAATAAATAAATCTAATTCTTTGCTATAGATTTCACTTTTATTGAACCTGGTTACATTACGGCATAGTGATACATCATTTGTGACAGCAATTCAATCATTAGAAAGGCCTTTGTATTGACCCAGTGTTTCCATGAAAGTCAATTAAATAAAAATAGTTTCTTTTTAATAAGAAAGAAGTTATTTTTAATAAAAATGAACTGTTCTTTGAAAATAAAAAAAAGTAGTTCCTTTTTAATTGACCAATCAAGTTCATGTAAAGCGATATCTACTGTAGAATGTATTATTGGGTGACAATATTATTTATTATTGGTCACGATGGACGGTATCGTCTTTTCACTATTTAGCCAGGCAGTGGTCTATACATGGCATTTCTGCTAAAACAACAAAATTACTTTAAATGACATTTTGTGGCATGACATATTGCACAAATCTCAGCCATACACCCGGACAAAAAATTTTGTTTGAAAATTGCCAAATATAACTCATAACTTCAGTGTTAATTGTTTTCCTATAATTGATAATATATATTTATCCTACCAACACGAAGTATGTGTAAATATAAATATGCAACCATAATATGTATTAATTTATAATGATTTATTATCCTTTTTTGAGGAGTTTGGTTTTCTCTGCTATCAATGAAGCAAATCTGAAGTGCCTATACAAATAAATATATAAAAATAAACCTATTATATCTACTATATCATAATATGTGTTATTGTTACTTTTATGTTCCACTTTGTTTTTCTCTACTATTTATCCGGCCAACTTGAAATGTCATTTAATATAAAAAAAAAAGACATCCACTAGTTTATAATAAGTTTTATTATGCCATTTTGTCTCACTTTATTTTTCTCCACAATTTATCCGACCAACATGTTATTTAATATAAAAAAAAGATATCCACTAGTTCATAAAATGTTTTATTATACCTTTATGATCCACTTTGTTTTTTCTCTTCTATTTATCCGTCTAACTTGAAGTGCTGTTTAATATATAAAAAAATATCCACTAGATCATAATATGTTTTATTATACTTTTTTGTGAAGAGGTTTTTTTCTTCTATTTATGCGACCAACTTGAAGTGTCATTTAATATAAAAAAAAACATCCACTATTTTATAATATGTTTTATTATACCTTTTGTGTGAAGAATTGTTTATCCAACTATTTATCCGGCCAACTTAAAGTGTCATTTAAGAAAAAAAAAAGATACCCACTAGATTATAAGATGTTTTATTATACCTTTTCGTTCGCCTTGTTTTTTCTCCACTATTTATCTGGTGCTATTTAATATATAGAAAGATATTTACTAGTCCATATAATATTTTATTATAATTTTTTGTGAAGAATTTGTTTTTTTCCTACCATTTATTTGGCCAGCTTGGAGTATCGTTTAAGTATTGTTTAATGGTCGAGAGAGAGATATTAAGTTAACGGCCCTCGTATTGTTTTAATATATTACGCAATGTCTTATAAGCTCGAGACCATTAAAAAACGTAAAATACAGACACTTCGCACGTGCTTCTACAGTGAAATGTCACGCGAGTCCAATATTTCACTAGCATAAAAATGTACGATCGGCAAGTTGTCCGTACGATTATTTGAAATAATGATACGCCAACATTAAAGGGTGACGTCACATCTGTATTTTAATATATAAAAAGATATCCACTAGTTTAGAGTATGTTTTATTTATACCGTATGGTGTTCAACATTTGAGTTTGATTTGTCAACTATTTATCAAGCCATATTAAAGTGTCATTAGTCCCGCGGTGCCCCCAGATGAATTTATTCCCCCTTTCAGTAAGCCGATAAGAAGTTCTAACGATTGCTTTTTGGAAGTTGAGTTATATGTCATTGGCTTGTTTCTGTATCCCTTAAAGTTGTAAGGATATGTGTATTGATTTTTTCCTAAAGTTTTAAATTCATTGTAAATTTATACATACGTGTATTGTCTAATTGCTCAGTAGCAGTTGGATGGGTCTGGTTGATATTTATTAATCCAGGCCATTCAAATGGATTTTTGTCTTCAAAAGTGGACCAGAAATCGACCAAGAGAAATTTAAAACAGTACAAAATAAGCAGATTTCCCACAGTGTGAAATAGGCAAGGAGTTGTTTTCATTATGGGTAATTCGTTTAAGGATTTGCCGGAATAGCAAAATACATAAATGATAAACATATATTATGATCAATATATATATGTATACAGGGTACATTAAGATTACAGAAAGAATATAATCAAGTGTTGGCTACCATCAATACCAAGAAAGGATCGATACTCGACTGCTTAGTTTAAATTCATAACTTCAAAATCTCTGGCGACTATTGAAACCTGTAACCGATGTGGGGGTGTACGTGTGGCTAGGGATCCAATGTACAAAGGACTGCAATAAAAATGTAATACCCGTCATAAATTTAGAATATACTATATCGAAATACTAGTAGACGGGGTGACCCCTCCCCCCATCTTTTGAAGTAGGTAGTTATTTTACAAATGGCAAACCGCTTGGTTAGTTTAATACAATCATCAACTAGCCTACACACACGATATTTTTTTTAGTTGATTTGTCGGAACAGTTATCTCAATGACGTAAAATTATCGTTAAAAAGATGAACAAAATGATGGTAAACTGACTGAGAATTTTTACGTAAATTTTACGTTACGTAAATATAACATCATGTTGTTATGTGGATAGTACGACGCGAATAGCCTACCTTGTTTACTTGAATAATTTGGTTTTTTTTAATTTATGCACCTCATCTGAATTAAAAATAATTAATGCGGTATTAGGTAAGATTATATAATGGGTTATTTGACAGTAGGCTATATATTATAGTTAGGCTATAAAATAGCCAAGCTATCGGGGATACAATTAGTGTCTAGCCTCGATTGTCATTACCCATTTCATTTTATTTCGTTTCATGTCTAAAAACAATCTGTTTGAAAAAGGATCACGAAATAGTCTACTTTCAATTTATCTAAGGTGGGGCTTATAGCCATGCCAATCACGTGATTTGATTGTAGTCAAAATCGTCCAGCAAATTTGGGTGAATTGATTTTCGCTTTTTGTTTATCGTTGATAACTTACAAAATATTATTTTTCGTAACCAGGAATAGACAGGTGATTTGCAAGGAAGGTTATCAATGAGTGAGCCAATTAATTAGCTGGATTGTTTTATTACAATGTGAAATACGTGTCAGTTTACCATAACATAGCTGGAATTTCAAGATAGCTATTAAAGGGAAATAATCCATGTAATGGAAAACATAAAGACAGTTGTACACTGTTTTTGATATCGTAGGCCAATGTGACATCACTCCATCGGAAAACAGGAGTTAAACAACCAGCTACTACCAGTGTTTTATTCTTGTCCTTTATATGGTATGCGATAACACCACTGTGGGAAGCAGACGTTAACCCACAAGCTACTACTAGTGTTTTAATAGTTTGATCATTGATCAACTTTATTTACTGTTTGTTCAATGTTGGGGGGTTTTTTGTTTTGTTTTTTTAATTTGAAAATATTCTAACAGTAACATGGGGAAATTAAATATATTTGAAATAACATTCTCTAACCCCCAGGGGGTGTTCTATGGGGGACAACTAATACAAGGTCATGTGACAGTGGAATTAAATGCTGAAATGAAAATGAGAGGTAAGAAGATCTCTTTTTATGTTTGATTGTTTGCACAGGAAGTAAGATCACAAAATCAACAGGGCTACATAAATATAACCTCTCTGCACTGTTTAGACCAGTGATTCTCAACCAGTGTGGTGCGGCAAAACTTTGAACGGCACACTAAGTAGGCCTAAGCAAATGCGAAAAACACAGGTGATCCCAATTTAGTATTCACTGGTGACTACTGCCGTACTGGTAAGTTCATGGCTGTGGTTTTGTTTATTTAGTTTGAGTCATTCTATGTGTCAAGGGGTATAGTTGATTGAGTGTTCTGAAATTGTATATAATGCACCGTCTGAATTAGATAACAAACCTTATCCCTCAACCCTCTGTGTTTCGAGATAAGAGTTGGTGCCATTAACTTCAACGTAGCACATGCGGGAGCGATTCGCACCAGCATTTGAAAACAAAATTGACAATATTTTTAATCAAAACAACGATTGATTATTGATAATATTTGTGCCACACCCAACTACAATTAAGCATATAATCCTACCTGAAACGGGTACAAATCGTTGTATTTAAAATCGAGGCGTTAAGCCAGTACTAAGACCGCCATCTTTTTAAACGGGATACGTATGACACTGTCATCATGAAGGCGGGGCTAAAAATAAGGATTTTATAACAGCCATTCAAAAAGGCAATCCAAAGCACTGTAACTATGAATGGATTTCGATGGCGGTGAATGTCAGACAAAAACAACGCTTCATTAATTTAAATGCGAATATTTGGAGTTAGGCACTAGTTGTGCCACGACATTGACCTCTGTAAGTTTAATTAGTCATTAACATAAACTTATCTTATTTTAAATATATTACATGCATTAATAAAGAAATTGAGTTTGCCACTTGGAACTAAAGGCATCCAATCGTAGCTAAAAACAAACACATCGGTACATGTAGCTACGTCTGGATAAGAAAATACCTCAACCGGCTGAAACATATTTGTTGTGTTTATACGTCAAGAATCTACTCACACCACTTTCGTTTTCTGGACTGACAGAACTGTGACAAGGCTGAATTTCACCTCACTCGATTGCAATTCTGTCTATTTCGGACACTCAGGACTGGCAATCGAGCATCCTCTATGACTAGTCTGTGTCTACGGCTGTCTATGACTTGCCATGATACTATTTGCAAAATTCAAATATTTTTCATATATATATTTAGCCAGGTGAGCCGCTATTTTTTCTTGTGTTCCAAGGTGTGCCATTGGCAAAAAAAGGTTGAGAACCACTGGGTAGACCTAGATATAATACAAGAGATACATGTACGTCTTGTGTAAGCTATGATATTCATATCATGGGAGCAGGGAGACATGGTGGTCTCATGTTCTGAGAAAGAAAGTTCCTTAGATTTTCCCTTGTCAGTGGTGCAGGACGGAGGGCCTAGCACAGAGAGTGTCCAGTTGTTCGGATGAGAAGGAAAACTGATGTCCTCATAGGCTACATATCAGTAAAATTCAAAGGATTTTATATAGGATTGTACCTTTGGTCCATGGACCTTTTTTTTCTAGAATTTTCTTCATTTGGTGAATATACATGTATTTCTGCAAAAAGGATTTAAAAAGTTTCCAATCTGATTAAAACACAGGTCCTACTGGTACTTCATTTTGATTTTTATAGTTCAAAATTTCGTTTTACTTGGCTTTACTACACTGGGATCGGGACGAGCTGTTATACAACCCCTATTCTGGCTGATGTGCGCGATAACACTATGAAACGGTCTGTTGCGATGAGTTTTTGATGTGCGGTTCATGGAACTGTGGGTGTCCCACTAAAAACGATCAACGCTTATTGGTTAATCAAATGTATGACATCAAAAGGTCAGAAACCGCTCGTATGACCCCTGACACAATCTCCCACTAAAACCGGTCAGAGCTCCATGTAGTTGAGGCCATCGAAAGTACAAAAAACAAAATATAGATCTGTATTTTAATCAAATTGAAGATTTACAAACAAGTTAGTGGCTCAGTGAGTAAGGCGTGGCTTGCTGTAGGTCCTGGTTCAAACTCAGTGTTGGCAAAGAAAATTCCTTAGGGTTATTCAACATGGTTTCCCCTTGTCAATTTTTCAGGAAATTTAGTCTCAAGTTCTTGGAATGAGATGACAATAAAATATGGTCCCATGTTCAGATGGGGGGTTGGATGGCCGAATGGTTAACACGTGCGCGTTGTATCAATAAGGCCTGTGGCGTGGTATTGATTACCCAGTTGTACATGGCAAGGAGTACAGTCGCCTGTCAAACCTCATGGGTTTTCTCTGGGTCGTCCCACTGCTCAAGACCGCTACGCGCAAGTGAATTATTGAAATAAAATTGAATAATATGTTAGTCCCGAAATGACCTAGTTTGTGTTGAGTGGACTTTAAACCCCCTCTCTTTCTCTCTCTCTTTCTCTCACAATATCAATACAAGCAAAAATGGTATCCCTTACACCAAACATGCTATAACACAAAACCCACATGACAAGGTCCTATTCGTAGATAGTGTTTGAAAAGATAGGTTTTGAGCTACATGTTTTAAATGTGTATTTGGGTGTCGGAAGCAGATTTGTCAGTGTATCATATGGGTGAACAATATCCTGTAGATACATTTATTATGGAGCAAAGTTTGACACAGTTTGATATGTTGAAGAGATTTGACCGTTCCTGAATGCTAAGCCAATGCAAAAAGAGTTTAGATTATGTGAGAAAGCAGTTTATTCCTGGCATGATTCTGAATGTGCTGAAGCTGATATACATACCAATTCTAACATACCAATTCCATAATAAAGTCTTGACATCGTGATCTTACAGTATACAAGGGTGACAGCGGTATCCATAGTAATGAGGTGCCTTGTCAATTCTATGTTTCGAAAGTGATAATATGAAACCTGAAGCTTGTCAGTATGTAACCCTTTTGAAACCTATAAGCGGGCGGGTGGGGGGGGCAATGTTCAGGGGTGCTGGAACCCGGGTACCAGGGTATACAAATGGTACCCTGCCCTTTTCTGGGGTATACATGTATACCCATGCCCTAATGATGAAAGTTTTCAACAATTTGCTCATGAAACAAAAATTGTGAATAATCAGGCTTTTAAAGGGTTTTATGTTGGAATTTGGAATGCTAGAGGCGCTCTAAACAGCGTTCTTGGAATCGACAAATTTCAAAATTTTCTAGAGGCCGGGGGTAGGTCCAGGGGGTCTTTTGGTACTCTGCCCCTCGCACCATTCCGACGCCCCTGATTTGGATCATCTCAGGGCCAAAATCATTTGTTAAAGACCATTTCGTACTCAGTGGGATGTGCACTGTCATTTATAATTAGTTTCAACTGGTAAATCACATGTACCGGTATGAATATAACCTTTTTATTAAGCCCCGGGGGTCCATATTTAGGGTGTCACTTTGGACAATTTCGTACTCAGTGAGATGTGCATGTATTCTTTCATTTGAAATTGGTTTCGACTGGTACCATGAATGTATAGTATATAACCCATTTTTGCTCTGCCAGTTCGACTTTGGGGTGTCTCAATCATTTAGAAAGTTTGACAAACAAGATATTCCTAGGTTCATATATAAGCACAGACCAACATTTTGTTTTTTGACCACAATTTTGTTGGAGAACTGGAGGTTTTTAGAGAATTTGAACTTTTAGATAAAATTGAGTGAACTAACGATATTACACGTATTATTTAAATTTTCTGATGCAAAAGACATTTAAATATTTTCAACAAATGTTGAGAATTAAGTTTTCACTGAAAATCCCAAATTTGAACTAAAATGATAGTGTTAGTGGTCCCTCACAAATTTGGAAAATATTTTGAAATTTTACTCTCTTTTTTTTAAACTCTAGTCATAATAATCCCAGTTTCTGACAATTGAATGATCATACCGTACCTTCAAATTGAGAACTCTTGTTCTTTTCCCTGCTAGGTGGGAGCTACCTTGGCTAGGTGGTTAAGACGCTGGCTCTCTAGTCTGGAGGTCGGATGTTCTATCCCCTCATTGGCCGAGAAAGTTTATCGGGATTTCCGACGTGGTTTCCCCTAGTCAGTGGGGCAGAACGGAGGGCCTTACAAGGACAGCTGTCTAGTTCTTCGGATGAAACGAAAAACCGAGGTCCCGTGTATATATTGGAATGCACGTAAAAGATCCCCTGGCAGTTGGAATTCGATATACTGGGCAAAATTTCCCTCATAGCACACTGTATGGCGTATGCCCGTCTTCATTAGCCCAGTATAGGAGCAGAACAGTAGGATGTTAAACCCCATTTCATTTCATTTCCCTGCTAGGTCGTAGGTTCGCTCCCGGTGTTGGGGGAGAAATTTCATTATGATTTTTTGGTATGGTTTCCCCTTGTCAGTTGTCAGTTGGAATTTGACGTACCGTACATGTAAGAGTAGGCCATTAGCGTCCAGATAAGAATATGTTGTCATTGTTTGACATGACTTGCGGAATATATCTAGTCTCGTTCTTCGAGTCCCTTTTTCCAAATGGCGCTGAAACGCATTCTGGTACACAATTTGTGTACTAATGGTGAAATGTCTATTTTGTCTTAAATATTGGATATCAGAAGCCTACCTTTTCCTGGTAATATCAAAACATCAATGTTAATTTAAATTGACAAATAATTTGTGTTGTCAATGTTGAAGACTTTGGATGATATTGAGTTAGAGACTTAGCTGTACTTTAAATAATACATAATCAAAATAATTGCAAAAATGTTGTACATGTACATTTTCATGTGGACGTATTTTGTCTTCGTCCCAGTTAGTCTGGACAATTTGTTTGTTCTATTTGATATTGGCATATATATCAGGGGATCACGTGGGTAAGACGCTGGCTCGCTAGCCTGGAGGTCGGGTGTTGGATCCCTGCATTGGCCGAGAAAGTTCATCCTGATTTTCCGGCGTGGTTTTCCCTTGTCATTGATGCAGGACGGAGGGCCTGACAAGGACAGCTGTCTAGTCGTTCGGATGGCACGAAAAACCGAGGTCCCATGTACACATTGGCGTGCATGTAAAAGATCCCTTGGCAGTTGGAATTCGATATAAGAGTAGGCCATAGCCCCGCTGCCTGGGCAATATTTTTTCTCATAGCACACTGTATGGCGCATGCCCGCTTCATATGCCCAGGTTAGGAGCAGAACAGTAGGATGTTAAACCCCATTTCATTTCATGTCATTTGGCATATATCAGACCGTAACATCATGGATTACATGTATGGCCCCTGAATGTACAAAAAATTAAGTTTTTAGTTTGAATCCTTGTCAAAAAACTTTTGAACCCCAGTCAGTTTTACTTGGCAACTTTTTACGTAAATTTTGTTTCGTCTTAAATGGCCGAGTTACGTAAATTTGTGTGTTACCCTTTATATGAATTTAGATTTTAATGGCTTCCGCCAAGCCGTTTAGCAGAAGGGGACGTATTTTTACTAACTCTAGCGAGGTAAGCAAGGCCTTATTTTCTCACTAAAATGTTCCTTTACATTGTACATGCGTTCGCAGGGACTGACACACGACTGTTTAGCATTAAAAAGTTGCCCACTAAAATTGACTGGGGTGCGAAAATTTTTCGACAAGGACTACTATGTACCTAGACATGGTTACACCGGGTAGACTAATCACCGGAATTCACCGGAATTCATTTACAATCACCGGAATTCACCGGAATTCACTTCTAAAATCCCTGATTCCTCCCACAAAACCGAATTTCTGTTCACTAATAATTCTTTCGAAGACCAAAAGTTGTTGTTATATGAGACTGTAAGAGTATATCTGACAATTCAAAAAAGTAATTGAATGTCATTAGATAAGAGAACGTGTGACGGACATTTTCTATTTTTCTTTCATGTTCTCTTATCTAGTGACAGTCAATTTTTCTTAAGAATTGTCAAGATATCTTTTCACAGTCTCACTCAATAGCTTTTCGTCTTCGAATGAATAATTAGTAAGCAAAAATTCGTCCATGTATCTGTTATCGCCCGTCACTTCAGTCAGTTATATAGAGGGATAACTCGTGTTTTCCTTTTGCGTTCATCCCTTCGGATTGTTCAAGCATTGATTACGCATCTATCGTAGCAATGATCTCTGTGATAAAATAATATTTGGAACATGTTTAACCAGTTCTATCACATATGTGATAATGACTGGCACCAATATTGTCCTTTAACTTACAATGCGTAAAAGGTTTAACCGCTCTACAGAAAATTAAACATAATATGTTCATGTTTCTTTTAGGAATAAGACTGCATTTTGAAGGCGGTGCACGAGTTCACTGGTCAGAAGAACACAGTACAGGTACAGGTAAAGATAGAAGAACCACCACCACACATTATTCATCTAATGAAACATATTTCAACCATATACTCGTTTTATTTGGCAAAGGTGAGATACATGTACATGGGTTTTCTTAGATCATCGGGATTTTTCATGTAAGCCTGCAAAACATGCAATCTGATTAAAACACAGATCCTATTTCGTTTCTTTTTTATAGTTCAAAATTTTGTTTTATTTGTCTTTACTACAATAGAATCTGGAAGAGTAGTTATATTACCGGGATAAGCCAATGAAACGGTCTGTTACGGAGACTTCTTGGCGTGCCATGCACAAAACTGTGGGTAAACCACTAGAAACGTCAACGCTGATTGATTAATCATTGTCTGACATCATAGGGACAAAAGCCGCTCGCACGACCCCTGACACGACCTTCAAGTACAACTCAGATCTTCATGTAGTTTAGGCCATTGAAAGTATAAAAAAAAAACAACCGAAAAATAAATCTGTATTTTAATCAGATTGGCAAAACTTGTTAGATTAGTGAACACGTTATATAAATATATACAATAGTAGTTTCTAAAAATCATTTCCAGTAACAGGAAAGCGAGGTAACCTTCATAAATGTAATCAACGAGGAGATCAACTACCGGTAAGTGTAGTTAGGATTGGGTGATTACAGGTTCCATAAGTCATTTGTATTTTTGCTAAAATAGCAAATTTCCCATGGCTTTATATACACACTAAATATGTATCCAGATCGATTATTTAACATTTAATTAATTAAGAAAACAAAATCAAAATATGAACTGCGATTCAATCTGTTTTAAACTAGACCCACTAGGTTTCTCCGCTACCAATAAAAGATGGCAGCACCTGGTTGCGCTCGTTCAAATTTCATTATATCATAACTTTGTAAATACTGAACGGAATTGATCCATTTTGTACTGATATTCGTATTAGAACGGAATTGATCCATTTTGTACTGATATTCGTATTAGAGATTAAACTTCCACAATATCGTAGTTTCCATGAGACGCACCAAGCATTAAATGACGCACCAAGCCTTTACACATTTAGGAGCAATACTTTGTGATACTTCATGGATTTACTTAATTTATGTTAAAGGAAACATAATTTCACGTCATTCAATTATTTTATGTTATCAGGTCCAGGACAGAAGGGAGACGACCCAGTTTTACAAGCAGGAAGATATGTATATCCATTTAATTTCCAGTTGCCCACAGGAATACCATCATCTTATGAAAGTCATACAGGGCGGGTTCGATATTCAGTGGGTGGTGTCATCGATCGTCCCTGGAAGTTTGATCATACAACAAAACGAGCTTTTACAATCGTCGATCCTTTAGATCTGAATCTAGATCCACAAGCCAGGGTAAATATATCGTAATATTTTACAGATGTCAATCTATTAGACCCGAACTGTCTTCATAAGATTAGATTGTGCAGAAAAGTAGGAAGTTAAAACCCATTTCATTCCATGTTATTTCTCTATAAATCTAGTTGCATTATATTATACTTGAAGAATACAACGTGAAGTTTCTTCTTTGATATCTTCTATAATTAATTTTAGAACATTTTACTATGAATTATCGGAAAAATAATTCAGACAATTTCTATAAATTATGAACGTTCACCTAGTGAATAAAGTAATATATATTTTCCTAACGTCATAAAACCATTTAAAGAAAAGAGGAAAGTTACTAGAAAGCAGACTAAATGACAACGTAGAAATTGGTATTTACTGATAACCCTTTGTTTTTCAGCAAGGTGCCACAGCAAATGGCCAGAAGACGTTATGCTGTTTGTGCTGTAAATCGGGACCAATTAGTGCTGTGTTGAGACTTGATAGATTAGGTTATGTACCTGGTGAGGCCATTCCCATTTCTTGTGAAATACATAATGGTAGTCGACGAAGTATGAGCAGTTCGTTCGTTCAACTTAAACAAGTGAGTCTTGGCTAAGATTTTGAAAATAACTGATAATTGTTGAAAGGGAATCCTCGTCCCAATTCTTGACTCGTCTAGGTCGATGGGGTTTCATCCGTGCATTGTTTGTACATAATGAAGGGTTGTTTCTGGGTTGGCAGACTTCAAATTCTAGTATGCCCCCACTCCAACCCCTGACCCCCACACGACTTTTAGAAAATTTATTTAAATTGATGAATCCTTGCGTAAGTTTCTAGAAATATACATGACTGCACATTGTATATGCGTTCATTGCTGGAGACTACTCGCATAGATAGTTCTATTTTGTGAATGCCAGAAAAGTGGGTTGGCAAAATATAACCTTTGAAGTCTACCTGTAAAAACTGGATTCTCTCGGGCTTCAGAAGAAAAGCAAAAAATTGAACTAACGATAAAGTACTATGCTAGTCTAGGGAATGGGCAATAATTTTACATATTGGCACTCTGTACATACTTGGGGGGTTGGATGGCCGAATAGTTAGCACATGCCCGCTGTATCATAAGGCCTGTCATTGAATCAACTGGCATGGTTTCGATTCCCTGGTTGTACGTGACAAGCAGCAGGGTCGCCTGTCCAACCTCTTGGGTTTTCTCTGGGTCCCCCGGTTTCCTCCCACTGCTAAAGACCCCTACGCTCAAGCGAATTATTGAAATAAAATTAAACCAAATGTTAGTCTCAAAATGACCTAGTTTTTGTCGAGTGGGCGTAAAACCCCATTTCTCTCTCTCTATGTACATACATGTACTTTTAAATGATTTCTACCCCAGGGCTATTTTCACCCAAGTTGCATAAGGTATTATAAGGTCCATGGTGATATTATCATACTTTTGTTCAGCCGTGGATTATATTGCCTTACGATTTGCTTCCAGACCGTGCTGTATCACGCCACATCAAAGACTAAAACAATGTGTAATACTGTGTCTAAAATTAGCCATGGCTCCATTCAACCTGGCGATGATGATATTTGGAATGGAGATCTACTGTCTATACCACCATTACCGCCTTCTGGTTTACGAGGATGTCAAATTATAGATATAACATATACAGTGACGGTAAGATAAGTATGTTTCATGGATGCCTCCTAAAGAGGCTCGAATATCATTCATAATGTTTTCAATGTCTAAACTTTCTAGAATTCATGAATATTTATCATGATTATATGCCCCATGTCGTGAGTAGTAATGGTCAACGATTATTTCTAATACTTAAGGCAAAGGGGGGTTGGATGACCAAATGGTTAACGAGTGCGTGCGCGTTGGATCATAAGGTCTGTCAAGAACTTTCTAGAATTCATGAATATTTATCATGATTATATGCCCCATGTCGTGAGTAGTAATGGTCAACGATTATTTCTAATACTTAAGGCAAAGGGGGGTTGGATGACCAAATGGTTAACGAGTGCGTGCGCGTTGGATCATAAGGTCTGTCAAGTGGCATGGTTTTGATTCCCCGCTTGTACGTGACAAGGAGTAGGGTTGCCTGTCCAACCTCGTGGGTTTTCTCCGGGATCTCCAGTTTCCTCCTACTGCTGAAAGACCTCTACGCGCACGCGAATTATTGAAATAAAGCTGAACCATGTGTTGGTCCCGAAATGAACTAATTTGTGTCAAAGTGGACCTTGAATTAATTTTTAAAGGCAAAGTATTTGAAAGAGTAGCCAAGTGGGACAAAGAATTGATCTTTTAATGGAAACCTAATCACTACCTGGCCATTTTCTTTCTCATGACTAATTTTCTGATTTTGCTGTTTATTATGTTTTCAGTTAAATGTTGATCCGTCTGGAGTAGGGACGGACCTAGTGGTGCCGATGAATATTTTAATAGGCTCCATACCACTCCAGTCAGTAGCAAGACAGTATGGTCCACCACCACCTCTCCCTCTACCTCCAGCAGGGAGTGATATACCAATTCAACCTATCACACCATCAGCACCTTCTAATATAGATATACGTAAGTAGACCTAGATTCAGTATTTCACATCAATACCTTAAAGCTCTACGTTGATTATTTTGTCAGCCTGTCAGCATGTCCGACTGGTATATTATTAAACATGGTTCAGATATTGAGTTACATAAACTGAAAGTAGCATGCTATAATATATTTAGCTATTTAAAAATTCGCATACATATCACTCTATCTTTACCACCTTATCCTTTACCAAAATATAAATTCAAAACATCTTCTGGATCTGTCGGATTGATCTGTTTTCATCAGTATCGTATTCAGAGGGCACTCGATATTTGTTGTGATTGTTCGGATAATAGTAATGACATACACAATAAGGTTTTATGGTGATCAGTTGAGTGGATTGTTGGTGGGCATACTTTCATGATTAGTGCTGTATCTATTTTTAATTTAATTGACTGTTTTGTTTTTCAATTTTCCAGCTCCACCATCCTATGCAGAATGTGCCTTTGGAAAGGTTAATATCCGTGAGGAGAATGATAATGAACATACACGAGGCAATATGGATTATGCTCCGGTTTATACGTATTATAACTGGAATCAACATGACGCTAATACATTTGTGCCGGTAACTGAAGAACAAAACAAACTATAACAAGCGTGTTGATCCAAAGAATAATGAAACAGGCTTTACAATAAGCATTTCTATCACAAGAATAATGAAACGGACTATAATCTTCCTTCGGTATGCATGTATCATATATCTGCTTGCTGTACTATAACGATATACTTACACTGTAAAGTATTAACGCATCATATTGAAAACACTTGTGTCATACATGTAGCTCAAAAGGTTGCTCAAAATAACAGAATCTCTATAATCTTACTCATCTTTATCAAAAGCATTTTGCTCCAATTAAGCGGTAGACACATTAGCTGAATCTTTCGGACGAATCAATCGCAAGCGGTAGCGAATTTTATTCGGCCGAATGGGTGGACACACTAGAAGAATCTTTTTTTTTCCCTTTCACCAGTCGATTGCATCACCTTCACGTCACATGATTAAACATGGCGGCGACTATGTCTTCAAACACTCAGCAAACCCCAGCAGATTCCAGTACCCTACATCTAGCCTCGGCTAGCCATGACGACGCCTTTGAAGACTGTTTTATCTTACAACTATTTCAAAGTCTGAAGCTGTTTTTTCTGTCAAGTTTATCCGATTTTCTTCAAACAAGGACAACTTTGCGCTGAAAATTTTAAACGCAATTTTGATAACTTCTATTTTAAAAGCGACAAGTTTTCCTAATAAGTAAACCGGTGCCGCAACACAATTGTATAGGCGTAGAGGTATATATCACTTATCGTCATACAGCTGAGGCTAGATGTAGAGTAATGGAATTTTGCCGATTGTGTCTTCAAACAATCACGTGACTTCTCGATATGAGTGAATGCTGAGTTGTTATTGGCTAATAAATTCTACAATCGGGCGAATGCTTCGGCGAAGCTAGTGTGTCCACCGCTTAAGACATTATTCAGATTGTAATCTGGTTCTTGGACCTAAAATACAATAACATTATTGAAATGATATAATAGATCAAATAGAAAACACTACTACCTAAAGTTTAAAACAAGTGGTTGTTATTTTAAGTAAAACTTAATTTCATTGCACAAATAAATTTTCCTTGTCAGAGGATGTTCGGTGCTGATGAAATGAACACAATTCGTTCGTTCGTTCCTAGAAGTTTACTCCCACTTCCACCATGGGGTGATATCGTAAACACAACTCTGAAGTACAACAGTCTTATATTGCTTATGGATTATAATGATAATTAAATTTTAAATGAAATACTAATGTCCATTTCTTGACCGCCAAATCCATCCATAAGCATGCCCAACGAGCATTCAAAGCCATAAACTGTCTACATGTCTATACAATGTAACTTACAAATGAGGTTTTGAAACAAACTTGTAAGAGTTTTGCTGTAGCGAATATTTTGAGGTAAATTGTTTCACAGTTTAGTGTAGAAGTAGCAAAGCTTCTATCTCCGAACTGTTTTAATTTTGATTATGGAATGAACAAAACAATATTTATTTCTATCCATGAGCAAATGGGACCAACACGATAATTATTTCTATCCTTGAGCAAATATAATGGGTCCAAAATGACATTTGGTTTTATTCGCCTAGATTACAGTAGAATCTGCATTAAGCAGCCACCCAAGGGAATTTTCACAACTGACCGCTTAACGGGAGTGGCCTCTTAATAAAATCTCGTTGCTTTTTGTGCTGACATAAATTAAATATTACGCTTGGATGCATTGGAAGCGGTAAATTTGTCTGTCGCTGAATCTTGCGCCGAACGAAAATTCTTTACTCAAATCTCGGACATAATTTACCGGGAGTGGCCTCTTAATAAAATCTTGGTGCTTTTTGTGCCGACATAAATTAAATATTACGCTTGAATGCATTGGAAGCGGTAAATTTGACCGTCGCTGAATCTTGCGCCGAACGAAAATTCTTTACTCAAATCTCGGACATTACTTCTGTAAACTTGTCATTTTGTACCAACCTTCGATACTACTGTGATGCATTCGATAATATTTATCCATTTTTGTGAAGAAAATCGATGAATTCATTTTATTTTATCAAAAAAGCACATGATCAAAAAAACATCGCTAATTTTATCACCTATTTACAGGGGGTGTAACTCTGTATGTAATATTATAGGAGGCGCTAAGAGAGATACTAGATGATCGTGACTGTATATAAAAAATGAAATAGAACCTTTAGTCCAGTAACAGCAGAAAATATCTACATTTACATAATTACTACATGTATAATAAGTGAAATAGAGTCTTGTATCCAGTATAATGAAATGAAATGAAATGAAATGGAGTTTAACTCCTACTGTTCTGCTCCTAACCTGGGCTAATGAAGACGGGCATACGCCATACAGTGTGCTATATTTCATTTATTATAAACCATTACGTACATGTATATATTTCTGATGATATTTAATTAGAAATTATATTTCATTTATTATAGCCATTATTTAATAATTATATTTCATTTATTATAGCTATTAATTAAAAATTATATTTCTTTTATTATAGCTATTAATTGAGAATTATATTTCATTTATTATAGCCATTACGTACATGTACTGTATATATTTCTGTTGATATTTAATTAACAATTATATTTCATTGATTATAGCCATTACTTACATATACATATATATATATTTCTGACGATATTTAATTAAATATTATATGAAAAGCGTTTCATACAGCCTTTCCGCCATTCATCAGCCTAATAATGTAAGTTATAATCTTGCTTCCTGTTTTAAATATTTTTTTTTTAAAATGTATCCAGCAAACCTGAAGTGTTTGTATTTATATAAAGATATACAAGTTTATAATAATATGTTTTATTTTACTGTGTTCAGAAGAATTTGTTTTTCTCTTTCTTTTTTATTAAGAATTTGTTTTCTCTATTTTCGTGTATTCTATATACAATGTTCAATATGATGTTATCATTTGTATAGGTTCTTTGTGTAACCAATTATGTATTCTTAAAGATACATTATGCAAGAGCTAAATCTGCCTATTGGAGGTCTTTCTTTTGGCCTGAAATGTTATATAAACTATTAATTAGACATAATTTATTAACATGAAAAGACCTTAATCATCTCTCGATATGTTGTCATCTTATGAGTCGGATGTTCACTGGATTTGAATCCGATTTACTGCTTAACGCTCATTGATGATTTAATCCTAAAAATGCATAATCGAAACTATTTTTTTTATCGTACCGACTTAAGTAATGATGATCGAGGCTAGGCTTTAAATTCAAACAATACTATATCGGTTCCGAATTGAGCAATTTGACTACAATTTTCGGCATATTCCCTTTACATTATCTAGTTTTTAACTATTATAGTGGGAACTGCCAGCTATTTATCTAATCTTACATAATGTATCGTTAAGAATTTGTTTTTCTTTTGTTATTAAGTATTTGATATTCTTTTTTTTTTTTTTATTAAGAATATGGTTCCTCTATTTTTATTTATTCTATATACAATGCTCAATCTAATGTTGTCATTTGTTATCATTTTATAAATTATGTATTCTTAAACAACGATCGTCAAACGTCTTATTTCGACATCGCTACCGTTCTGTATCCTTAGTAATAGTCACCTTTTCTATTGAAGTTGTGGTCAAACCGGATATTTGATTGACTTCAGATCGGAAGTCAATAGACTTGGTCCCGTGTTCGATCCCCGAGTTGGCTGAGAAAGTTCATCGAGATTTCCGGCGTGCCCCCACCCCACCCCACCTTGTTTGTGGTCAAGATATGAGGGCCTGGCAAGGGACAACGTATAGTCGTACACATTGGCGTGCCCACATTGGTGTGCACGTCAAAGACCCATTGGCAGGCGGAATTTGATATTAGAGTACGGACGTCATCATCAGACCAGTCGGTGTAGCGGGACATTACACCATTTTATTTCATTTTATTTCTATCAAAACAAACTGTTTAGCGTGAAGAATTATTAACCTAGATATATTAAAATAGTATTGTACGTCTAATTTAAAATAGATATTTCCAGTATATAATCAAAGCAAACAGTATGGATCTATGTGTTTATTTGAATACAAATTTAAATTAAAACTGTCAACACAGGCAAATTAAATATATTCGCAATAACGATCTCTGCTGATTAGATTTGTAGCAATATCCTGATTATGTTACGGGTTCGATTACGTGCACGAGAACGTGTTTACGTGATATATGTTTGACGTCCCATCCGAACGACTACACCGGGATCGATCAGGGGACCTCCTGGCTAAAGAACCAATGTCCTACTGAGTCATTGTAGCTCCCGAGGGACGTTGAGGCAATACGGGGGGTTGGATGGCCCAATGGTTAGCACGTGCGCGCTGTATCTTAAGGCCTGTCATTGAGTCAACTGGCGTGGTTTCACATCCCCGGTTGTACGTGACAAGGAGTAGGTTTGCCTGTCCAACCTCGTGGGTTTTCTCCGGGTCCTCCGGTTTCCTCCCACTGCTAAAGACCCCTACGCACACGCGAATTATTGAAATAAAATTAAACCATATGTGAGTCCCGAAATGACCTTGTCTGCGTCCGGTGGACGTTAACCCCCCCCCCCCCCTCTCTCTCTCTCTCTCTCTCTCTCTCTCGCAATACTATACACTATGATAAATCTTCAGTTGGGGGAAAATATGTGTACTCTCACTACCAGAGTAGGGTATCGGCGGGAGATTCGGGACTCTATAACACGAATACAGGCTATATCGATGTAAAAATAAATAGATAAATAAGTATGTTTTAGTGATGTACCGACGGCAATCCCCTCTCTTTTAGCCTGATACAAAGTATTAATAGTATTTTACAAACCAATGAATGAACAGACCACGTGATTTACACGGATATATTGTATCAGTGTGTGAAAGTTGGTCAATGTTACTATATATAGTACAACTGAGACGTCAACTATAATGGAAATTACCTCCACATTGCGCAATACCGGAGCCTAAATTTCATTGCTCAGCTTTAGAATATTTTATAGAATTGTGTAGTCATTGATCATAGCAAACATTATTGATATATTTGTTTATTTGAAAACATTTTGAATTAAAACTATCAACATGGGCAAATTAAATATGTTCGCAATAACTTTCTCAAACCCCCAAGGGGTGTTCTATGGTGGCCAACTAATACAGGGTCATGTTACAGTGGAATTAAATGCTGAAATAAAAATGAGAGGTAAGTTCTGTTTTCTCTTTCTCCGTGTTTTGTATTGTAATGATGGATTTCAATATTTTTTCCTTGTCAGACCGATAGACAATGTAAGAGATGTCGACAAAACTCGTACAGAGTGTTCGTCCTGGAAAGCTTTGAGAAACTATCAACACTGTAAAATTGTGTAACGTCTTTCTCAATAAATTTGTACACAAATTGGGGCCACAATTTACTTATATGCGCTTATACAATAACGCCCTGTGTACAAATCACTTTCATGTAGACTGAAAGGAGCTAAATCGCTAATATTTAGGACGGAAAAATTGACTCACATGGGTCGCAACGCAAATAATTATTATGAATGTATATAAACTGATATACGTTCAATCATTCTCTTTTTACTGTAATTTCTCAATCGAATGGCAATCTCTAGAGTCTGGTTATACCAGTCTACACCGATAGTATTTATTGCGCATGTTCTCCAGATAAGAATATGACGTCACCGTTTGACATGAATTGTGGAATGTGTCTAGCCTCGTTCTTCGAGTCCCTTATTACAAATGGCGCTGAAACGTATGATGGTACACCAATGGTATAATGTTTATCTTGTCTTAAATATTGGAAATCAGAAGCCCATATTTTCCCGGTAAGATCTCAACATCAATGTTGATTTAAATTGACAAATAATTCGTGTTTTCAATGTCGAAGACTTTGGGTGATATTGAGTTAGAGACTTAGCTACTTGAACTAAAGGAAGTAACATCAGACATGTCAAGCCTTATTAAGTGCTTTTGGTGTAATAATACGCACCTTGATCTTGAGAGGATACATACACTATTCAATCTATTCCTGGACGAAACACAATAAAATTTAGATGAATGGAACTAATGCGTAGTAAGTTGTGCCTACGGGACGCTTCGTCGAATTCCAACTTTCAAGAGTTCTTTTATATGCACGCACACGAATTTACGATCGGGTCTTGGTTTTTCATACCATCCGATCGACTATATGCTTTTGTCATTGCTTAACTCTCCAAACGGCCTGCACCACTGACAAAGGGAAGCAGACTGAAATACCCAGGACATCAGGCTTACTGAGCCTGTGTCGTACTCACTGAGCCACCGTGGCTTCCAAGGTCTTAATATAGGTACCGTAGATCTAGTAGATCTATTATAGGATTTAAAGGATTATTCTTTAACAAGGTAGGACTGTTTATAAATACCATCAATTTTAAGGCTTTATTTTAATACATTTGAAAAATATAACTTAAAAATATGAAATTATCGCTTTAAATGTACAATAAGTGACGCCCGTGTTATTTGTTTAGTTTGGTTAAATGACATTCCATTTCTATCACCTTTAGAAATGTTATCTGGTTATCATGAGATTCGATCGGCTATCCTATCATTTATTTATCTTGCATCTTAATTTAGCAATGACAAGTTGACAAATGGCCCATATAATGATACAAGATAAGATACGTTGTATTGCATCAAATAAACCCAGAGAGTAGGACGTTAAGAGGTCACTCCTATATTGTCACGCAGTGCATATTTTTACATTTTCTGTAGTACAATTTTCATTGCAGTTAAATACTCCGGATTTCATTTTACATTACAGTTACATACTCAAGATTACAATTTACGTTACAGTTATATATCCCACATTACAATTTACGTTACAGTTATATATTCCAGATTATAATTTACGTTACCTGCCCCAGATTAGAATTTACGTTACAGTTACATACTCCAAATAACAACTTACGTTACAGTTACATATTCCAGATTACAATTTAAGTTACAGCTATATACCCAAGATTACAATTCACGTTACAGTTACATATTCCAGATTATGATTTACGTTACATTTACGTATTCCAGATTATAATTTACGTTACAGTTACATAATCTAGATTAGTATGTACGTTACAGTTACATACTCCACATTACAATTTAACATTACAGTTAATCCAAAGCTTTTATAAATTTAGACCGATTATTATATATCAGGATGCATATACACACTGTTTAATATATATATATATTTTAAATCCAACTCCTTTTTAGAAGTTTCCCGTTTTTAATTCAACCGGCTAACAACTAGGTTCAGGACCTGTAAAAATAAATCATGGCGTGTTCATTTTTGCTTTCAGGAATAAGACTACATTTTGAAGGTGGCGCACGAGTTCATTGGACAGAAACAAAATCTGAGGGTACTGGTAAAGACAGTCGAACAGTCACCGAACACTATTCATCTAGTGAAACATATTTCAAGCATATACTGGTCTTATTTGGCAAAGGTAAGAAGTTTTTATTATTATTATTATTATTATATACATCCAATGGGCCAATGGGTTCGCTCCGGGTGTTTGTTTTGCGAAGCGGTTTCCTCTTGGTGGTGCAGTACGGATGACCTGGTAATGAGAATGTCTAGTCGTTAGGATACAACAAAAACCCGAGTACACATTGGTATGCATGTACACCCTATCAGCAGTACTGCTGTCCAGGCAAACATTTCCTAATAGCATTCTGTAGTCAGGACACAACACCCAGGTTGAAGTAGGGATAAGCACTCTGTTGAAGTGGGCAAATAATTGGGTTGAAGTGAGAAAACACTGGGTTGAAGTGAGTAAAACAACTTCTAAGCGCCGGGTTGAAGTGAGAAAAACACCCTATAAGCACTGGGTTGAAATGTGGATACGCACTTTGTTGAAGTGAGAAAAGAACTGGGTTGAAATGAACACTTGGCGGAAGCCTAATTTGCATATTTGATATGGCTTCATCCTCACTTCATTATCATTGCTGCCTTCTATATTTCATTGTACATTTGAAGTTTGATTATCAAGGTTTCGTAGAAAAGAATACTTCAGATATCAAATTTATCATTTCGAACACGTTTCAGTCTTGTGCCATCCACACTTCATATGGATGGCGTCATCACTTCATGGCATACAAGATGGAGCACTGTCACGACTTCAGATCTACACATGTAATAATAACTATTATAAATATTCCAGACATCCATGAATCTTATCCTTCATACATTACAGCTATCATAATATATTGTAATATAGTCGCGAGTCTCAGAATTTTGAGTCATCTGTCGGAATTTCGCACTCAAATTGAGAAGTATTGTTAATTCGGAAGTTATCGACGAAACGGTTGTTTAAACTCCTAAAATAAAAATACTTCTCAATCTGATTGTGCAAGTCCTACGGATGACTGACTCAAAATACATGTTTCTGTGATTTCCGGCGGAATACATTAATGCATGAAGGATAAAATTCACGGATGTCTGAAACAATTTATGATAGTTATTATTAGATATGTAGTCGCCAAAATGCAGATGGCATATTCGTGTTTCACGTCCCCAACAACACATGTATGATGTTATTGGTACTGAGATAATACTTTTCTCGCCAATTTCAGTCGCCATTTTGGATTTTGGCCGCCAAAATGAATCGGAAACCTATAATGATACATTACACGGGTCATTTCGTCAACACTGCTTGTCAAGCTCTATTTCATACCATTTGTGGCCGCCATCTTGGATTTTCGGCTCTCCTGGAATTATCCCGTGGTGTCAGAGGAAGTAACTACAAATATTTCACTAAGGTCAAAACTTATTTCATGGCAAATGGTCACTGACCTTGGGGTTGTGTGCCGACTAGTATGCCCGTCTTCACTGGCTCTGTCGGTACATAAAAATAGAACGTGAAATCCTATTCCATTTTAATATTTCCATCAATTGTTTTATTCTGTAGGGCCAGGACAAAAGGGGACCGACCCCGTCTTACAAGCAGGGAGATATGTATATCCATTTAGTTACCAGTTGCCCTCAGGAATACCATCATCTTATGAAAGTTCGGACGGACAGGTTCGATATTCAGTGACTGGTGTTATCGACCGTCCCTGGAAGTTTGATCATAAAACGAAACGGGCGTATACAGTTGTCGACCCTCTAGATCTTAATCAAGAACCCCAGGCCAAGGTAAGTATCTTGAAGCATGCTACAGTTGTCAGCCTTTATCTTACACCAAAGGCGACTTTTAGTTTGTATAGACATTTAATCAAGAATAACGTTTAACTTTGAATGGACAAAATAAAGCAACATATTTTATTGAAATTGGTTTGTAAATAGTCAATAAATTATAATATCTTAAATTATGCTTAACATTAGTGAGCGAAACGTCTCATGAATAGAGAGCAGGGCATACACTGTTGGGCCCAAAAACCTAATATGTTGATGCATGGCCACTGTCCAATTACAATTTCTAGAAGTAACATTTCCAGTACTAGAAAACAGACTGTAGAAGTAGTGTATAAGGCAAAACAACGAAAGCCATTAGTGAATGACCACTGTTAACACTATAGAAATGACATTTGTCGTGAAATGAAGTATTGGTCGATGTGTTTCAGCAAGGTGAGATTAGAAATGGTCAGAAGACATTGTGTTGTCTGTGTTGTAAATCCGGACCAATTAGTTGTATGTTGAGACTTGATAGATTAGGCTATGTACCCGGTGAGGCCATCCCCATCACTGGTGAAATAATTAATGGTAGTCGACGAAACATGACGTGTTCTTTTGCTGATATTAAAATGGTGAGTTACCTGATAGTCGTACGACTCTATTTTTGGAAGCTTGCGATAGACAAAAATGGTTCTAAAAGCACATGTTAATGCAATAATATTGTAAAGTGCTTTATGTTTGATTTATATTCAAATTTTGAAAACATAATATCGTAATTTCTAATCAATTATGTTCTGTGAAATACGTGAACAGTTCAAATTGAACGACAGTCGATTACGTCGTTTTAGTACATTTTACACATTTTTAAAATTATTAATTTGTCGTTTGCGAACCAGCCTTTATTAATAACTTCCACATTGTGTTGTAGGATATATTTTTATTTGTTCATTACAAAATGACACCCAAAACAATGAAAATACGACTCGTGCAGTGATTATAAAATGTTATTTGTTTCTTAAATATCAGATATATAGTTTTACGGCAAGATAACAACATCAAAATTGGTTGACATTGATCAATATTGAAATTTTATTTCGTGTTTTTAATTTCGAATATAATGAAAAATATTGAATTAGAGACTTAGCTCCATCAAAGTGATCCTCGATTATAATGAAAAATATTGAGTTAGAGACTTAGCTCCCCTGAATAGCCTACAGCGCTAATTTGAGGTTTCAGGATCCAGTGAACGTATATACGTGGGCTAATCAAAGTACATCTATCTCAAACCCAGCTTCACCACACAGGGAAAAATGCTAAATCATATTTTGTCTCGAAACAATTCTAAATGATATTAGTCTTGAGAATTGGCGGAATTGATTAGGATTAAAAACTCATGTATATTGTCACGTTGTACAATCGGACTGTCATGTGCCATTTCTTCCAGATCGTTAAGTACCACGCTACGTCTAAGACTAAAACTGAAAATAAAATTGTGTCAAAAATCAGCCATGGCCCCATTCTACCGGGTGATAGTGATACATGGAATGGGGATCTACTGCCTATACCACCGTTACCTCCTTCTGGTTTACGAGGATGCCGTATTATAGATATAACCTACAGATTAGCGGTAAGAATAATATATGTGTTAAATAGATTAGCGGTAAGGTATCAGTATGTTTTATTGTTCATTCATTTCTCTCAAATATGCATTATGTAATGTATGTCTTTTATTTATTGACATGCCAAGACTGCCCAAGCCTCCGAGGGACTTAGATATTGAATGGATTAGAACAGTCGCGTCAACTGATAATTTAATGATATAGATAATCGAGACTTTGTTTTTCTTAATTGTGAAATCAGCAGTAATTGGCGATCGAGACTATCAAGGCCCTTATAGCATCACTCACAAAAAGTAATATAAATGGCATTTTTAAATAATGCGTCTTTTAAGAGACAATAAAAAAACACATTAACTGAGAGAAACAATCTACGGCATGTAATTTATTCAAAAGAAAAATAAAAAACTTTCGAATGTCTATCATCGTCGTAAACAGTTAATAATTTAATCACTGGGGCAAGACTGTGATAACGCCAAATTCACTGTGTATGATTGAAATATGTATGGCCCTAAGAATTGATCCTTGGGTACTCCATTGGCTTTCTCTTGAATTCTTATTTTCTATTTTTCAGTTAAATGTTGATCCGTCTGGAATAGCATTTGATCTAGTGGTTCCAATAAATATTTTAATAGGCTCCATACCTCTCCGGTCCGTAGCAAGACAGTATGGTCCACCACGACCTCTCCCTCTACCACCCTTAGGGTCTAATGAAATGCCCCTTCAACCTACCATGCCGTCAGCGCCTTCCAATATGGATATTCGTAAGTAAACATTTATACCTATTCCATAGACGTTTAGTTTACTGTTGACAACTTGTGGGGAAGTACCCCCCCCCCCCCTCCCGCATTTAGAATAAAGCTGGAAACTATTAGAATTGTTTTTTCCGTCGTTACATCTTTTGGGATGTAATAACACTTCTTGAACTATGAGTATGCTCTGCTTTGGTGAGCTAAGATAACCTTTATTCTGATTGAGTGATGCGTCCAGTTTAACTTCATCAATACATTAACTTAGTTCAATAACTAACACTTTCTGGTCCGTAGCATACAACTTTATTGGTCATAACTTTTTTTTTCATATATATTCATTCAGTGCCGGACTGGTGGGCCGAAGGCCCACCTGTCAGGTCATTAACCAAGGCCCACACAAGTACGCGCCAAAGGCGCGCGAGCATCCGATGGGGTCGGGGGTCGGGGGGGGGGCTCTCCCCCCCACGAAAATTTTGAAAATTGACAACCGCAAACCCATTTTCCAAGCATTTCAGGCCAAAGCCGAAGAAGGCAAATTTTTGATTTCCTGATACAATTAGATAACAGAATGAACTAAGAGCACTATCATTAGATGAATTTGAGAATTCTCTTCAGTGTCAAAAACGAAAAACCTTTTATTCTCAGTTTTTGGCGATTATTTCGGCGATAATGACTTAAGAAGAACTAAGTAGAGGTTAAAAGATGAATTACACGGTTCTCTCTCCTGTCCTGTGCCTTGTCCTCCCCTTCCTTCTTTCTTTTCTTTCCTCCCCCTCACCTTTCTTTCTCTTTTCTTTTTTTTCTTTTTTCTTTATAAGCTTAGGCCCACGAACAGGTGGACAGGTGGGCCCAGTCCGGCATTGTACTCATTGCGTCAATACCTCGGTACGTTCAAGGTTGGGTTACACATACTTTGCTTGAACAATAAACATGTATTTAAAATAATATGCCTTTGACTTTGGCAATAGGCCAAGGTGATCTCTATCTCCTTCTCAGAGTTGCTGGTAGGAGTATGTTCGCTGCCTTGCAATGCAATGTATATTTTTATATAGAGCGTGTTCCATTTTTGTTTTGAGACAGCTACATTTGGATTATTTTTATTTCAATCGCAAAATTTCTATTTTCAATTTTCCAGCTCCACCATCCTATGCTGAATGTGTTTTTGGTAAAGTTAATATACGTGATGAGAATGATGATGAACATACACGTGGTAATATGAACTATGCTCCTGTTTACTCATATTATAATTGGAATCAACATGAAGCTAATACATTTGTGCCGGTAACTGAACAACAACAAAACAGACATTAATGTAATCGGGTGTGTATCGAAATAAATCTAAAAGTTGACTATAATCCAACAAACTTGCTGCTATACCACGAATACTGCACGGGATTGATATAACAAATTCAAAGATGACATTTGCTGAGACTAACAGAATATAAAACAATGTCTCTAACTTTCGCCATCATCTGATTCTAAGACCTTAAATAGATAAGCTCCAAACAGATCAAAATGCAAAGGATGGCACCATGATCAATTCCAATAGTTGGCAACAAGTGGTTTAAAAATGTGCCTTTGACAAACACTACAACATGTCAAGGTGATTTGCTATAATGAACTAGTAGAATGATACTCACCATAAAGAAGTTTACGTTCATCAAATGGTCATCTCCTCAAACGTCGGAGATTATCGGCAAATGGAGAAAGATCCTTCTCGTACCCAGGCCCATTTCTCTGGAATGGACTTCTGGTCAGTATTTTCAGGTGACACACCGTATTAATTGTTAAATCACTTCTTTAGACTCTCCTATTCTTACAAGTATTTACATAATGTATCTATGTTTTTATAATTTTATACAGGTTCCATGTTTTTATAAACAATTTATTTTGGAATAATTTTATTCATTATAGATTTATTTATATGGTATTATTTATTTCATTTTGGTGTGATTTTATATTATTATTGTTAAGCTCATTCGAACACTTTATAGTGGAATCTGCGCTAAATAAATTTTGTAATAATAATAATAATTTATTGTCACGCATTGCCAAGGCATTTGTGGATCTGATAAAACAACATACAATTAAACCATATACACAGTCTAATAATATACGGCTCGCGGGTGCGCGCTTTATGATAAGGACTGTCATTGAGTCAACTGGCATGGCTTCGATTTCCCAGTTGGACGTGACAAGGATTCCGGTCGCCTGTCCAACCTCGTGGGTTTTCTCCGGGTCCTCCGCTTTTCCCCCAATGCTAAAGAACCCTACGCGCAAGCGAATTATTGAAACAAAATTTAGCCATATGTTAGTCCCGAAATGACGTTAAACCCCACTGCCTATCTACTTCCGGAATAGGTCTTTGCCCCGAATGCTGCAATGAGGTTCAGATCCGTTTTACATCTTTCATACACACAAATACTAAATAATAATGGAAGCGGAATAAATACTACTTAAACTTCTTGATTTAGCAATTAAAATATCGGTCAATTTGTTTCCATTTCTTAAGTGGAGCTAATTGTTGCCGGTAGACAGCGTAACTTTCGTGTACGCGAACCATAGTAAAGTATTTACTTGCATACCAAATTACTTTAACTTTATTACGGTTATTAATTACATGTAGGTAAGTCTATTTCGATTAGAAAAGTCAGTTATTCATTTAGCATAAAACACCCATATTATCTTCATTCGTCTGCCAGGTCCAATATGACGTTGGACACACGCCCGTATGCTTTGTTTTAAAGCATTTCTAGGTAGTGTTTCTCTATTTTATTATGGTTCCAGTATAATTGAGCATAACATTTTATTATTCGTTACACTGATATCTGCGAAGCTCCCCTCCTACCAAAACAAACAAACCACAAGCTAATTGGATCGTGTTGACCACATTCCACACCAGAGACCAGAAACCGTGGTAGTTTTATTATGTAACTTTATCAATAGTTATATCCTGATTATTGACAACCGTAAAAGAACCAAGAGAACGGCCAACAAGATATAACTTACCTACATATATTATACATCATACACTATGTTTACCCACCTGTTTATATTTTGTATCTGTTTAAAGTTTTAATAAAAAAAACAACCAGGGTAATCTATTATTGTTTATTTAGTTATTATACATTTCTACGCCATACTAATCCTGAAAACATTCCTGTTGCAATTGATGGTCCCAAATCGATATTTTGCAGTATTTCGAGGGTTTTTCTTAAATCCCTATCCAGATTGTTTGGCTAATCGGAAAGGGAAAGTCCACCAAAATGCAGATTCGTCTAATAATTGTTGTTGCCTTAAGCGATTAAATCTGAAATTCATCCACCAAAATGATGATACTTTATCGGTTTGCTACTTTATCCATCGGTTGGTTGTGGAATTATTCTCCCATATTTAAATGGACTGTATATTGCCTTCGCTCATATCCGTCCATCATCCGTTAACATCTTGTAAACAGCCTACAGTCTCCGAATTATCATGTTGTTTTTAATTTGTGATATGTTGAAAGCCTATAGATACGGCTCGTGATAAATGTAGAGTTTTTAAGAACAAAGAAAGGGAAACCAGGTTGCAAGATCCCGATCAACACCGGGATTGAACCAGGGAACCTTTGGTTAGTTAGTAAAAGAACGATGACCTTGGAAAGAACTGAAATCAAAACAATAAAGAGCTATACGTTTTGAAAACACCCCATTGGGTTTTCTTCATATCTAGGGGATAAACATTTTTAAATTAAAACAGTGCATAATCGTCCACAATCTGCCCCTCCCCCGCCCCAAAGGGGTTTCTAGCACATGAAGAGTCACTTAGAAATTATATAATCAGTGTGAATAAATCAACTAATTGGCCAACCCTTGATACTGTCTATAACATGAAACACTTTGGATGTCTCGGGATCGATGCCAGTGTTGCCCTGGCTGACACTGACCATTTGTGCAAGACCGCAAGCATGGGAAAGAACAACATCTAGTCGTTTAGGTGGAAAGAAACACCCAGGTTATTGGCATGTAGACGATACCTTGGTAGTTAGAAGATGAGTAGATCTTAGCAAACCGCATCATGATGTATGCCCACCTTCAATCGCCCTGTTGATGCATGATGTTAAGCCCCATTGTATTTATTTCTATTCATTACATTTCAGTCTTACACGCCCTGGGTGTTTTAGCAAGCTATAAGTAAAGGCGCATCAACTTTAGATGTCAATTGTTACAGCTGGTCCACGACTATAAGAACAGACAAAAGGACAGTGCCTGTGATTTGCATGGAAAGTCAGAAGAAAGGCGAGTTCACGTGTGAGCAAAGTGTGAATCTGGGAAGAGGAATTATTTTTGTGAAGTTGTAATAACATTTAACGAACCGATGAATGAGCAGACCACATGAATTACAAGGAACGTTATAAATAGTTGATCAATGCTACGATAGAAATATTAATATGTCTATGATAATAATAATCTATATTTCATGTATGAAAGACCACAGGTCCATAGTACAATTCATCATGAAAATTTTGAACATCAATAAGATGAATTCAAATTACCGTAAGAAGTTTAAACAAGAAGAATAACTCTAATAATTAGTAAAACTTGTCTGTTAGAAAGAATAATAATATGATTGTACTATACAAAACAACGATTTGACTGACATATATTAGTTATATCATTCATTGAGAGATATCATATTACGAGTATGAATTTAGCCAGTACTCATCTGAGTAAAGATCAACTAAGATTAAACATCTTCAAGACCTGATCACATAAACAAGCCCACTAGCTCTAAAACCCCATTTCAAAACTTCAACAACTTTTCAAAAGACTCTTGTGTCGATAAGTACCCATTATGTTTCGACAAAGATAATCTACCAGAGGTTTTCTCTGACTTTGCATAAGTGAAACCAAACAATCTATCCACCCTGCACGTTTCAAGTCAGTAGCTTGAAGCGTATATATGGTATTAGTGTCAGTGGCTTGTGGCACGAAGTAACAGTATATTGTCGCATACATAATATATTATGTCAACGCTTGGGCGACATAATATATTGTGTTGACGCTCCAAGCGTGTTAGCATATTAGACCTGTAGACTCAGTGGAATGTACGCGTCATCAGAGCGGATCCAGGGGTTGGACCATGGGGACCGGTCCACCCCCTTAACAATAGAAAGTGTCCCTGTAAATAAAAGAGGGCATCCTTATCAGAAAAAGGGCACCTGTGATGTCAGAATTTCAAAAAAGGGCACTTTTCTTTCGGGTTAGGGTTAGGGTTAGGGTTAGGACACAGAAAAGAGAGAAAAAACAGAAAAGAAAAAAACAATCGAAACTTACCGATTCCATGATGGAAAATACCGCCAAAATATGTCTCCAAAGCATTCATTGGTTATCAAAGCGCCAATTAAATCTATCGTTGCAAGTTCATGCCTAGTCACCTCCATCCTAGTTCCAAGCGTTGACATAATATATTATATCGCCCAAGCGTTGACATAATATATTATGTATGCGACAACATACTGTTACTTCGTGCCACAGGCCACTGACACTAATACCATATATACGCTTCAAGCTACTGACTTGAAACGTATCGCCTGATCTATCTCATCACTTGACAGTGTAGATGATTCAGTCGATTGACGTTTAATCCAATTTCTCTAATAGTTCTCGAGATGATTATTCGAAATGCTCACACAAAATCATGAGATCTGGACGCTATACCGACATGGCTTTTAAACATATGTTTAGCAAACTTGCTTCAGATATTATTCACGGTAATAAATGATTGCATCTCTAGCTGCCAGTTTCCGATACAGATACAGATACTATACTATGTTTCATTCTGTAACATTTGACCTACATATTTATATTCCGTATCGTTATTTAAGGTTTAATAATAAAAAAAAGCCCAGGAGAATATATTATTCTTTATTTAAATTACTTTTGACTCAAAACTAATGAAATAATCCTGAGAAATTCCCTATTACAATTAATGTCTCAATTTGACAGAAATACTGCGCACGTCTGAAACCACTGTAACGTATCTTACACCCCTATTGTAATAAGTGCAAAGGGGGTGGGACGCACCACACTCAAACAATTATACAAGACCAACGTACGGACGTCCAGTGTTGTCCAGATTGTCGGGCTATTCGGAAAGAGAGTCTGTCCAAATGTAGAATAGCCTATTAATTTGTATTGCCTTTGAAAACTATGACAGCTGAGAAGAACACTTTCACCCCTTCCTGTCGAAGGTGAAGCCGTAATAAATGGACCTATGAGTAACAGCGCGAACTCATGAAGGCGAGAAATAATCAGCCAAGACGTCCAGCCTATTCTTAGCCTCGCCTTGTTTATTTCTTACCTTCTTGGCTTCAAACAAATCACATCAAAAGATCACTCGGACCAAGACAAGGCGGATCAACGACCAGACAACTGGGACCAAGACAGAAGACCAATATTTTGCTTTACTAATTCGCTTCATAATTAAAATAAAGGACTGCTTAATATATTGTTCTGTATTAACGTATAAGACCACACGACCGAGATGAGTGTTGATTGACTCTCTGATTGCGTACGCTCATGTCTTTTGTGTGAAACCGAATAATTGCAATCAGTTGGTATAAACAGTATTTATTGAACATATTAATACACACAATATATATATAATACATTATAAATTATATGGATTCGGAAACAAGATATAAAGCTTACATTATTTTTATTATCTTTTCATTTATATAGCGCTACATTATATACTCTTCAGAAAAAAGTAGGGGATATTCAGAAACGATACAAAACTGCGGAAATGCACTGCTGCTTGTATTAGAGGTAACCAGTTGATGTTAATAACAGGTCAATTGCCTACACGTGAACATAAACAGTTATCTGACGGCCCCATTTCATTCGCAAAGAGATACACCGTCAAAAGTGAAAATGGACGTTTTTGATTTTTGTCTTAATAATGAGTAATTGCTCCATCAATGCCAAGTCGCTGTGGCATGCTCCTAATCAACCGTCCAATCACGATTTGGGGCGATCTGACCCACTCCTCTTGCAGTGCCACGATCAATTCTTGCAGTGTTGTCGGTTGACGTTGACGTCGACGAACACATCTCCCGATCACATTAAAAGTAACACACTAAAGCAAAGATACGCTAAACAGTAAATCTTATGCAAGAACCGATAGGAAAGCAAACATGGATAGATAAACCAGCACGCGGCAGTTTTCATCAACCCTTCCTTGAAGTGTCAAATTTGATAATGAACCCCTCCCTCCTGTATGGCGCTATTGCGTGTCGCATGTGCAGTTCAGTGGTTCTTCATCTGTGAACATACGCTCAAAGCATGCCAAGTGTCCATGACTATTTATCATATCAGAACCTGCATAGGTATTTGCATTTCAATATCCCCTTCTTTTTTTGGAATAGTATATATCAAGATGTTCCTAAGCGCTTCACAAGACTAATCATAACACTGTCCGAAAAGATGAGTTTTCAGTTTACGCTTAAATATGTAATATGAATTTGATTGTCTAATAGTTACAAGAAGATTGTTCCAGAGTTTTGCAGAATTACCGGGTAGGAGAATTGGCCAACTCGTTTGTTAAATTTTGGAATCGAAAGGCGAGTTCTGTCATCGGCTGATTTTAGATTAGATCGTTGGTTGGAATATGTGTGAAGTTCTTTCAGATAGACTGGATGGGAATCGGAGTATAGCGAATTGTATGTGTTGCACAGTATTTTAAAAACAAATATGAGATTTCACTGGTAGCCAATGAAGATCTTTCATATAGGGTGCGATGTTTTCCCTTTTTCGATCTCCACATATAATCCGAGCAGCATTATATGCGGTGCAACCGACAGCCTTTGTTAATCTGAGTCCGGTGTTCCAGCTAATAATGAATTAGCGTAGTCTAGATGCAAGGTTACATTTAAATACAGTTAGGTAAAGAGTGTAATTTTTACAACAATCAATATGAGGACATTAAACATATACGAAATAACGTTCTCTAACCCTCCGAGGTGTTCTATGAGTGCCAGCTAATACAAGGCCAAGTTATAGTGGAATAAAATGATAAAATGAAATTGAGAGCGGATTTATGTTTTGT